CATGATTGTAGGCTTCTACCAGGTCATGGCTGTCTAAATGCCCCATTATGGGTTCATGACCATCCAATCATATCCAATCACAAGGAAACCAGTATTTTGAGCATGGACCGTGCCACATATTCCATTGGTATCCAATTCATCGGTAACCAAGGGGCTTCCCAACCCAACAACTAATAGGAAAATGGGCGCATGATCACCTATATCGTGGAAACTGCGATCTATTGGGCCTCCAACTGCGGTTTACGAACCCTGTTTCAGCTTGCCTTCATATAAGGTTCAGAGTGGTGGTTTCGGGGATAGGGGTGATCTCCATTTACCCTCCACAAGAACCAGAGGTTCAAGTCTCCGAACCACCAATTGAAACTACCAACTAGGTGTTACCTGACTGTTGGTGAACAATAGGCTTGAACCATGAAATCGTGTGCCCTGAGAGGAGCTCGCGTTTTCGAACCAAAGGGGAGGATGAACCGCGGGGTCTAGACCGATTCTCTCCCGTCTCTCCCTGATCGGGAAGGGCTCAAACAACAGGTTGAATTGTCACAACTGCCTCCTTTCGCTTTGAACAATAGACTACCAAGCAGGCAACCAGCCATGAAGTACACGATCGAAACATACAATTACAATCCTCCTCAATCTGATTAGCAAGGTGCTCTCACTTCTGAGGGCTACGAGCGCAAATCAAATCTGTTGAGTGCCTTGAAGGAAATCAAGGGCTCGGTTTACCCCCGGAACTCCTCCAAGCCTTTGGGGGCCATGGAGGTGGGTGTATACCTTCCAATCGCCCGATGAACACAGGCCAGATCTGTTCTGCAGTGCGTGTTCGCCACTGAGGGCCCTGCAGGGTTGCGGATGGTCATCTTGCCAATCTGGAATGCGAGGCAGTGCAGAGAAGGAGGTCGTCGGTTGACCCCATTGCATCCAAAACCCACACCTGAACGTGGGGTCACCCCATGTTCAGGTGGGGGTTTTGGATGTATTGAGTGACAAAAACAAGATGAGCTTGTGCAGCAGTACATAGCCCTCATACAAGTGGTACATAAGCGCTACGCAGAACGCCCCCCCCAAAAAAAAGAAAGAAAGAAAGAAAGAAAGAACGAACGAAAGAAAGAAAGAAAGAAAGAAAGAAAGAAAGAAAGAAAGAAAGAAAGAAAGAAAGAAAGAAAGAAAGAAAGAAAGAAAGAAAGAAAGAAAGAAAGAAAGAAAGAAAGAAAGAAAGAAAGAAAGAAAGAAAGACAACAACAACACATCCCTTGAAGTTGTCGTGGGGATGGACCCGTCTCCAAAGGCAAACTGCTAAGTTATATCCATTCACCAGGGTGCCCATTGTAAAGGGTTGCAAGTGGCGAATAAGCGGGCTCTTTTCCTTGCCCCCTAAACATCACACCAAGAGGAAACTCATCTAAACGCCGCCCAAAAGGTGAGGTTTAAATCGGCTGAAAAGGAATGAAGCCCCTGTGACAACAGGCAAGGTGTGTGATCCACGTACAAACTGCACCTCCTCCACGTACTTGGCCCCATTGCCACCTCGGAGAAAGGGCACATCTGGCGCTGCACCAAGCACTTGTTGCACAACCTGCCTGGGGGTGGGGGGTGGTTGCGTTTTTTGTTTTTTAGAGGTGTAGGTTGTCAAGCATTTGTTGCAAAACCCTCCCTGATACTTGGGGTGGTTGTGTTTTGTTTTTCTTCTTTTTTTGTGTTTTTGGGGTGTGTGTGGGTGGTCTCCATCGGGCGCTATCGTGTCATGACCCCCCCCCGGGTGTCATTGTATGCGCTGGTCAGTTAAACACCCTAACATGGATCATGGGGGCTGGGACAATCTCAACCTTCTCCTCCATACCAAGAAACCGCCGTTTTCAAAGGAAGTCTCCTGGCAAGGATCCCTCATCTTCACGGGGGGTTATATAATGTGCACTAAGTGGCTCCTTTCTCGAGGTCTGACCAGCGGGTCCTTTCCGATTTCCGACCACTGAGTCATCAAAACCTATGGAAGGAATCCCCAAACCCATTGCGCCCTCTTCCCAAATCCAAATGGCAGTGGGCAGGCCATGTCGGTCTTCCCACCTTCTGTCCACTTTGAATGAGGGGCGAATAACATTCCACAGATCCCTAAGACCCAAGATGCACCGTACCCCAGTTTTGAGCTTCGGATCCCAGCTCACCCGGTGTCGGCCATCCTGTCGGGAAAACGGGGGCCATTTTTGCCAGGGAAAGCGGTTCTGGGCCTCCAGGCCAAACTGCCAGCACACCCGCAAGTTCGCGCGCTCGGCGGTGGCCATGATCTCCTGAGCCGAAGAAATGTTGCGTTGGGCCCGTCGCAAAATCGACCGCCAAAACGGGCGGTGTGCGAGTCTCGCTTCCTGTCCAACTCCAGTGGACGTCGCTTTCTGGATGGCTTGGCCCTTCACCAAGTCTGATGTTCCAAGTTCAAATCCGGTGCGATATGGCTACTCCCTTCCGAGATTAAAAAGCAAGGCCTATGACTGACCATGGTAAAACCAAACGATGGGTTTGGGAGCACTCTCAGTTCCACACTTCTTCAAGTGGCGCATGGTTGTCCCTCCACAAGAAGGAATTTGGGTGTTTCTCCAAATAGAAGTTCTGTCAAATAGATTCTTGGGTCTCGTTTTCAACCACACCCGAAAAAAAGGACACACCCAGTGGGACTCTAGGACCCTTGTCGGATGTCTCCGTCATCTGTAACAACTGCTCACCAGGATTTGTTCCGTGCCCTCGCAGTCACCACAGTTTTGGGGATGTAGTGGCTACTCTCCTGCAAATCATCACGGGTTGCCCAAAACAGGGTCCCTCAAAAGGAGGTTCCTCAAAATCATGATCTTTTTGGGGTTCCACGCTAAGCTGCAATGTTGAGACACCTTTCAATGTAGTTGAGAGCGTCAAGCCTCCGCATAATGCCTCTATTCGCGCATGGGCTGGCCGGATTCCAGACATGAATGGCAAACAAACCCATTCCTTCACTTAAACATACCACGCCTCGTGATGAGTCGCTAGCAATATCTCCGTCGTAGTGTTGGGCCTCATTCATGCTTCTGGGAATCGTCCACTTCTGTCATGCTGTGGCAAATTCCAGTTCACACCAGTTGCGATGAAAAAACACTTGCCAACTGGTTCAGAATTTTGTCCATCCACAGCATGTCTGAAAGGCCTTACCAGTTACTACGCCAAGTCTTCACTTAAGGGCGGGGGGGTGGTAACGCTGCCCTGGTATCGTGTCAGTGGGAAACATCCCCATCATTCCCAAAGCACTGGCTTTGTTGTTTGGGCCTCTTTGACTTTGCTTCTAAGATACTTGTAACTTGCCACTGGCCCCAAACACAGAAACCGCCAAAGCAGACGTGTAGCGGTCTCCAAATTGGGTACTCCCCAAAAAGGGGTGCAGTTTCAATCAAACCTGGCAGGTGTCTGATGCATTTCAGGGGTCCTTCCCAGTGGTCGCCCTGCCTCCCGCGTCTGGGCTCGGCTGTGGTGAGTCCAAAGCCCGCCCCTGGCAAAAGACGTGCCGCCCGGTTTGGGTTTGGACGAGTCACATTGGTTCTCAGACCCGGGAATGGCTCGGTACGTTGGTCTGATATTGCCTACCGCCCCCCCCCCCCCGCAGTAATTAACCTCATTATCGGCCAGAACATCAAATAGGTCCAACTTTCTGAGTTCAACAAGCCGCTGCCCATGTCGCTGCAACATGGCAACTTTCCGGAGGCCCGATTTGAATGTTGCTACCCAGAATTCAAACAAAAGGGTGGATTGCCCCCGAACACGGGACCTACCCAAATGATTTTGGCTTGTACCTCCCTGCACAAAGCAGCACACCGGAGTTCCATGCTCACAACAACAGGCCTTTTTCTGTCTGGCTGATCTCGAAGGGAAACCCCTTCCACAAGCAAAACATGACCCCCCGCCTGCCCCCGTCCCCGGCCTGCCGATGTAGCCAATCTCAGGCCTCGCGCCCGCGTAGATGATGGTGAACTTTGGCGCCTCGACTGCGGGCCCCGGGGGCTTCTCTGAGAGCGACCATCGACATGGGGCGCATCAGTGGATGCGAAGAACCCTGACAGCCAAGTGGCTCAAATAACTGTGCCAAGTGGCACCTTGGTAAATGTAACCAAAGACTAGAACCTGCGTAACCCTAGCTCTTTAATTTTGAGCCGCACCCACTTGACACAGTGCAAAAACCAGTAGGCAAACGAGAGGCGTTCAGCAATCAAGCTGCAATTCAGCTGCAAGGTGGGCTTCTTGCTGCACCTTACAGCTAGGTCTTGTCCAACCTTCTACTGCCCGAGGTTCCATTGCTCTGTCTAGCCCCACGGAGTGAAGACCTGATTGTTGAGTTCGCAGCCCTCTTTCCAAGGCGACTCTTCTCGCTGCTTGACCCTTTAAACAAAAAACGCAACACATGCTAGCTGCTAGAGCGATCAATTCCAGGATGGTTTTCGCTAAATTCACACCAGCACCAGGGAGAACAGGGTACATACCCTCTACGTATAGTGACTACGTATACTGACTTTTAGCCATGAACCCCGGTGGTGCTTGGGGATAGTGAATACAATGAACCCCATGTTGGATCAACGCTTTGTGAGTCTAAAGCCTACTTTAACGCCTGCACCTTTGGCTTGTGTCAACCCACCTGGCAGCCTCAAATGGATACTTGTTTGGGGAGCCAGGCACAATATACGCAAATGATGCTAACAAACATGAACATGTGCAGGTTCCTGTTGAACTACCATGCTTCTTAGTGGAACACTTTGCATTGAACGGAAGGTTGATGCAAGAAACATGTTCTGCAACTATACGGGTGTCCTGCCCAGTTTTGGACAGTGAATAGTCGGATAGCTTTCCTTCATTCAATCCCATCCAAACGGAGCCCCACCAATCTTGCGCTGGAGAATCTTTCCCTTGGTTCATCGCATTCTATTCTTGAAAGCAACTTGTTTTACCACGTCACATCTGCGTGTCGACCTCACCTTCAGTTGGAGTGCTTGATCCAATATGTGTTACTGTGATTTGCCCCCATCACTGTGGGAGTCTGTCCAAACGATCGGGTTTCTCCTCGTCAGCGCTGGCTTGCAGCAAGCATCCCGCAACCTCCATGTCATTGTATTGAGAGGCCAAATGCAGGGCTGTCCATCCTTGAGAGTATCAAGCAACACACAACTTCCTGATGGCCTTCTTGAAAGCCAATAGGAGTTCGTCCAAAGCGATCGGCTCTGTCCTTGTCAGCGCCAGCTTGCAGCAAGCATCCCGCAACCTCCGTATGATTGTATCGGGCCAAATGCAGGGCTGTCCGTCCTTGAGTCATCCTTGAGTGTCATCCACGTCCACGCCAGCCCCTTCTGCCAGCAAGCAACGCATAACCTCCTGATGGTGATTCATGACCGCCAAATGAATAGGAGTCCGTCCAAAGCGATCGGTTTTATCCTTGTCAGCGCCAGCTTGCAGCAAGCATCCCGCAACCTCCGTGTGATTGTATCGGGCGGCCAAATGCAAGGCTGTCCATCCTTGATTGTCATCCTTGTCCAGGTCAGCCCTGGCTGCCAGCAAGCAACGCATGACTTCCTGGTGGCCGGTCCTGGCCGCCAAATGCGTGGGAGTTAGTCCAAAACGAGTGGTCTTCTCCAAATCAGCCCTTGCTGCCAGCAAACAGCGCAGAACTCCTTGGTAGCCATTCTCGATTGCCAAATGCATGGGAGTCTGTCCAAACGACGTCATCTTCTCCTTGTCAGCGCCTGCTTGCAGCAAGCATCGCGCAACTTCCATATGACCACCTAGGGCGGCAAAATGCAGGGCCGTCCATCCTTCGCAGTCAACTGTCTTGTCCACGCCAGCCCTGGCTGCCAGCAAACACCGCACAACTTCCATGTGGCCTTCAGCAGCCGCCCCTTGTAGGGGTGTGTTGACAAGTGGATTCTCATCCTCTGAGTCTGAGTCTGAATGTTCTTCTTCAGCGTCCGGATCCAGGGGCATTTCCAGAAGACTCACCACTCCTGCAAGGTTCCCGTTTGACGCTGCCCGCACCAGAGCTGCCTCGCCATCTGTGTCTGGCAAGTAGGGGCGAATCACAACCACCAGCTCCACATCTTTCCACTGGCTGTCTTGTGAAAGTATTTCACTACTGCAGACCAGTGCCAGCTGCCTAAAATTCTGCACCTGCAGATGCACGGCCAAATGGCGCCTGAGCACATCAATAAACACATCACCCTGCAGGTGGTACTCACTCCACCATGCAGCGAACTCGTCTTCGGTCATGACATCCTCCCCAGTGACCTTGCGAACGAGCCCCATCACCGGGCAGGAGCTATCCCGACAGTAGCACACCGGACTTAATCCTTGCGAGCCGAAGCAGTTACATTCGCGGTGAGAGCTAGAGTTTTACGAACCCGAATTGCTGGAACTCTATGACACCATTACCACCTTTTTGGCAATATATGCCAACCATACAGAATTCGATAAGGGTCACCCTGCAAGAGCTCCGCATAAGAGCGCTTCGCTGCTTCATGGTCTTGAATTCGAGAGCCAGAAGACCGGTTCCGCACGCTATGCGCTTCAGCCTCCCTGTCTGTTGCTCATGCTACCCTCGTGTTGGTCTTGCTTCTGAGGTCCCTATCACAGGCTTTGCTATCTCAAAACGACATGCTTAGAATTGACCCCTCAACAATTCCAAAAACATGTGCAACTGATGCAACATGTATGCAACATTTAGAATATATCCAAGACCTGAAATAAGAAATCCCCAATTTGCCAATAGTAAAGGACCGTCATGGTGAGCTCCTTTTGTTTGCGGGTGCTCTTGATTCCAAAGCCTTCCCGACGGCCTCCGCTCAGAGACCTCTTGAGAGCCGTGGTTCATAAACTTCCCATTTGACAAATTGGTTAAAACGGGTGAAGTAGTAATAAGTAGTATACAACAGGTCAATCGTGGACGTGCGCGTGTGCGAGTATCCACGCCACACAGTGTCACTTGCCCCACTGGTTGCCTGACTGGTGTCGAAATCGTTCGCTGACAGCGCGTTCGCGCAAACTAGCCCATTGGCTTCCTGTAAGCCTAGCAAACAGGACTTCCAACCACTGATTAGTACTGCTCAAAACTATCGCGACCAAGCAGAAGAGGCCAGCGCCAAGAACAGGTCAGCCATGGTTCATGAGCCAGGAGGGTTGCAATCAAATTGGGAAAGGACTCCTCCTTTCGCATGGTGTGAGACAAGCTAGGAAGAAGGGTAGGCTGCCGCCATTTTTCCAAATCCTAGTGATACAGCCCAAAAGAAAACCGCTTGACACTCGAAAAAAGTCACATCCTAAGAAAGCCGTCCTAAGGATGTTGGCTTCTTTGCGGAGTCTTTGCCTTTTGGACGCAAGAGCTCAACAAATTCGAATGGGATTGCGTGCTAAATCCAAATTAAGCCATCATAGAACAATGTGTAAAACCATGCAAGCCCCGTGCGTATTTGTCACAGTTCTAAAGTCGAAATGGCCATGGGTCAAAATCCAAAATCGTACCCCGGTGAACATCCCAATACCCCATGTTTAAAGGGTCATGAAGGCTTCAGGTGTATATATCGCAGTGGTTGTCAAATCCAATGGGATCCCATTTTGGGCTAGGTGAATTCCCCACCCGTTTTAGAACCTATTTTAGTGAAAAGGGGTCATTGAGATGTGGAGACTGCAGGCAATGGCATAAACAAAATGAAAATGGAGTTGTGGGGTACTTTGAAGACCATGCCAAGTCATGCTCAAAAGAGAAACCGAAAAGCGGCGGCCCTTCAGTCGAGTCGAGGCGGGCACTGGAGTCGGCCAGCCGATGCGGATGCGCCCGCGCATGGGATCCGTCGAGGTGGTGAATTTGTGCCTCGAGAAGCCAGAAATACCCGGCCCCCCCCTGTGGAGTAGTGGGGTCGATTTTGCAATCGTTGGGGTATTGGGGTTGAAGGTTTGGGGTTGCAAAAGAGGCGCCCCCCCCCAAAAAAAAACACACAAAAAAAAAAACAACAACAAGGGGTGCTAGACTTACTTGAGCAGATTGGCGAGAAAAAGTCAAAACCTTCTGTTTACCTCAAGAGGGGTTTGACAAGAACAAAGAGACCCGCAATATGATTGACTTCTCGATCCTTCAAGAAACAGACACACCCATGGGAGTCCCAAAAGGAAACAAGCACGAATTGAGTTGTCCCCCCTTCTCGTGTTCCCCCAAACCGTTCATTTGTCCCTTGCTCAAAATTGCAAACGTTTCCTCAAAATGACATGGGTCATGTACCCCTGGTTTTTGTGGTTAAATAAACCCTGAACACCAAATGGACCATAGCCCCCTGAATGGTCATAATTTAACCGGGGAATGTTCTGGGGGTGTTCCAATCGGAATTCCCTCACAGCACCCGGAACGCCTCCAAAAGTGTCCCCTCCTACACAAATTCTCAGCTGTTTGAATCAGCCAACAAAGGGACATGGGCATGTGTGTCAAACAAATATATGTATTATATATATATATAATACATGCTACTGTACATAGCGTGAACCCCAGGTCCATCAGCACCCCCGTTTTCCCCTTGTTTTTTCCTGTGCAACCAAGGACGGTCTCACATTCGGGACCGGCGTCCCTTTTGCGCTGATCCTTTTTTCCGGGACCAGCGTTTTTGAGCTTGTGTTGACCTCTGGCGTGAAAGAAAAGGCGGTACTGCCATGGAAAAAAAAAGAAGCTCTTTCCATACAGACCCTAAAAAAAGAGGTGTGCAGCCCTCCAAAGGTGTCCTCGGCCCGGCTTCGGGGCCCACACGCTGCGAGGTAGGACTCTGGTGCCGTGCCGCTGTTGGTGGCCGCGTCCGCGAAGGGGAAGGCGCCCTTCAGGGCAGTGAGCCTCGGGCAATCGACTCAGGTCGCAACCTTGAAGATGGGTTGATGACCTCTTTGGAGTTGCTTTTGGGTCCTTAGCTCCCCCAGTAGCGAGGTTAGAATAAGGGTACCCTTTTTTCTGTAGTCTATTTTAGTAGGGGAACCCTCCCCTAAAAAAGGGTAAAAGGGCACCACTGGGGGACCTATTTGAACATGTGTGGATGTGTCTTTGATGCCTGCTTTGGGGTTGTCTTTGAGGTTTGCCTGGGTTATCGACCTGGGCAGGGATCGTTTGATGGAAGTTGGGAATGCACCGGAAAGGAATCCTGAAGGAAACAAGCAGCTGGATGGTTCAGTTCGGGGTCATTCCCGAAACTTTTCCGCTGACCAGCAAGAAGCGTCACCCAGTCAGCCTGGAACATGCTGGAAAATCCCCTGCGCTTTGTGGTGTCAGCTATTCGCTTATGACATCGCTGTGATGGGGGTTGCCTTGGTACCCAAACAACAAATGGCCTTCCCAACCCCTTAAATCAGGGTTACCCAAGAACGGGCCCTTTCACCCCAGCCTTCCCAGCCCTCTTTCTTCGAACCAGAAGAAGACATCTTCGGAGTTTCAAGTGGGCAAGGTGTCTGAATGTTCCCAGGGTGAAATCTCCCGGTGAATAGACAACTCCTTATATTCAAGCACAGAGCTTGGCGATGATGTATAGCTTCAACATTTGAAGTGATGGATCTCCCCACCAAAGCAGCCAAAGTCACAAGTTCTTGGCATAGCTCCGGAATGCTCCGGATGATCGGCACTTGTGGTCTAAGCTGCGGGCATCTCATCTGTACATACAGGATCACCTAGCCACTTGGAACTTGCTTGCCTTGATGATGATTTGAGGGACTGGTCAAAAAAGGGACCGTTTTGACATGTTGTTCCACCTGGCCGTGAATTTTCATAGGGAAGCACCTCAAAAGTGGTTGGTGGACATGGGTCCCCAATCTAAATTCACGCCCGCCTTTGCAAAGGGAGGCGGGGGGCTCGCAAAAAAAAAACATCTTTTGGTGTTGCCTTTGTCTCCAGATTCGTGCGGGGGAGTTTCTACCCTACTCAAGCGCTCCCTCAGGAAGCCCTGCTGAGTACCGTTGTAGATTTGCTTTTGTATGCTTTCTCGAGAAGGGGGAAAAGCAAGCATCACTGGGTGGCTGCAGGCACGCTGGAGCCCATTTATTAAAACCCGTTGAGCAGAGCCCCTGAATCATCAGATCTCTCGCCAATGCATTGCCTGCTTCGCAGAAGATGTTTGCCCCCAAGGTGATCTCATCGCCTGTCCTCAGCACGACGACACGTCCAACATGTGCGTGTGTTTTTGCACCCTGGTTTCATGTGAAACCAAAAGGAAAGCCAACCTTTCGACAATCCCCTATGTTGTCTTATACCAACATTATTTCACAAGAAGCTGTTGCAACGATTAGTCTGTGAGTTTTGGCACATTATGCATTCACACGTTCGCAATGTTTCACAGGGTCTCAGCGGCTGGCAGACATGACGTGTGTGTGTGTGCAAAATCACCTTCATTAAAAAAAAAAATGAAAAAAACGCGTGCGACAGAACGCCTGTGCACGTGTGGATTCACACGTTCAATGTTGCACAGAGTATCAGTGGCAAACCAGGAAGAGCCACATGAGGCATCATTGAGAGACCTGCAGAAAGGCCAACCACGCAAAACTGGCGTGATTTCTGACGGGAAATCCCAGAGATCAATTCGCAGCAAGTCAGGTACAGCTGGGTTTCACGGACACCAACCCTCCCGCCTGTTGATATTTCCCACTCTTCCGGCGGCCAAAAACCTGTCTAGTCAAGCTTGCAAATTCAATAAGTCCAAACAACGAGACTGTATGTTGGGATCCCCAAGTAAGGCCCTACATGGTGAGCTCGCCTATACCCAACTCACCGTGAATCGGGCAGCATGGTTCACCAACCAAAGCTGGGGACATGCCTACGAAAGGAACCACACATGCTCGGTCGCACTCAAAAAGGTTGGTGTCGCGATCTCAGGATCGCACTGCATCATATGGTCTTTCTGGAAGACGAGCTCCGTCTCAGTCTCGCTGATGACCTCACTACGGCAACTGTAACTGGGGGCAACGATTCACGCTCCATGTGGGTCCCAACTGAGCGCTCACGAAATAGCAAAAGCATGGACCGCGCCTGTCCGGGGTGTACAAACAACATCAGCACGAGGTGCTACACCAAAGTGAATGGTGAGAGGGCATCTAGGTTTCATGAACTGCGACAGCATTGTGTGCGTGCTCGGAATGGCATTCCACGGTATGCGAGACTGATGGACATGCGAGATTGGCACTTGCTATGGCGACATGCTTCGCTGGTGGAACCCGCGTAAAAGCCAAAACCGAAGTTTCACTATTAGGTCACGTGGAGTTTGGGGGATCCATTTGTCAACCACAGGAGCACTAGAGCCCGGTCTGGCAGGGAACTTCTGCACAAATGGATTGCACCCGAGCAGCAAGCTCCAGTGCCAGGTATGCCTCAAAATGAAGGATTCCTCTTGGATGGCCTTTACCAAAAAGGAAGGGTGGACTTGTATCAACAGACGAACTAACCATTCGGGGCGGGACATATTGGCATTGGCTCCGAAAAGGAGTCCCTATCTTTGACAACCAGAGGAAGGTCCTGAGGCATATAAATACACCCAGCCCACAGTGCGGGGGAATCCAACACGCAAGATCCCTGGCACTCTTGCACAAGAGCCGCATATTTCAGCACAAATCATAGCGACACAAGGGGTGCCACCCCCCCCCCCCCCCCTTCCCCTTTATGCAGCCCCAAGCACTGTGATGGTGGTGATGTCGTTCGTCTCACCTTGGGCGCTTCCAACTCCATGCTTTGGGAAATAGGGCTTTCTGTGATACGAAAGAGGGCTATCCCTATGACTACTTGTCCTCGAACGGGGGATTCCCTTGGTATCACAGAAAGTAGACCTAAAACCAAGATTTGAATTTGTAACAAATGCATTTCTAGAATCCAAGGAAGACACTCTGCCAAAGATTTCACTCATCTACAAATGTTACAATAATTCAAAAAGCCTGAAATAAGGGAACCTCCACAAAGGACCTGAACCATGGTGAACTCGCTTTATCGCAGGCCAGCTTGCCGCGAAAAAGGCGGACGTCTGAACCTTCGGATCCTTAGCTCAAGGCAGTTCTCATTGTTGACATCGCAGTTGTAGGCATCCGCTGACAGCACCTGCACCGCTGAGTGGGAGGTCTAGCTCTTGGCCGGTTCGTTTTTGGATTCAAAGGTGGACGGGGGGTGGTTTTGGGTTGGTCTTCGGTACAATCAGCTCCAAAGGTACCTCCAAACAAATTAAAGAGCTCTTTTGTTGTACCACTGCCGAGGTCCGAGGGCCTTAAGCTACACAAACACCAGCCAAACCCATAAGTCCAACAACTAAGTCCACGCAAGGAAGCCTACATGTTCACGGTACCCGTCTTTTACCCCTTTTTTTGTTAAGGAAACCCCGAAGACACCCGCCGATTTCAGGGTGCCGAGTCCGAGACAAACCCATATTTACTTGCCGAAACGCCTGCCTGTGGGCCTTACCCATCGTTGCCTAACCTACAAAATGGTCCATGACCATCCCTGCCAATCCCAGCAAACGAGTCTTTTACAATGGCACATGGGGATGTGCTGAAAGGTGGACCCCCCAAAACGGGTGGCTGTCCCTTGGCTTCCCTTTCAACCACGGAACCCTGAAAAATAAGAAGCCCCGGGTGTATATATGAATCAACTACATGTGTGTAATAAATAAACATATATATATATACATATATATATATATATTATTTTATTACATTATATTATATTATATTATATTATAAACACCCCTGGTACGAATTGATGGGTGGCTTCACCACTAAACATGGGTGTATTCACATAGGGGGCGCCGAAAATGGGTGGTCTTTGCTTTTGCTGCCAAGCCATCCATATGGGACTGTCTCAAAATACGGACTGCTTGTTTTGGCCGAATTAAACGGGACCCCAAAAGGAAAACAACCACTAGGAAGGGTCTCCAATTTTGAGAAGCAAATGTGCGGAGGGCGAAATTGGTTACCTATGGTTAGAAGGATTACTAGTGTCATTAATAATAAATTGGAATAGTAGCGTGGACACTGTTAGTGTCATTTCTGTGGTTAGGGTTATCCAATTACTGTGCTATAAATTGGAAGCACTGATATGACTTCCTCCCACGCTCACTTCAATTCGGAGGCCTTGGTGCTGAGATCCCCCGGCTCTGTGCCGCCGGTCAGCGTCACGTCGGTACAGGGCACTGGGCACTTCACCTGAAAGGCACTTTGCTCTCCGGGCCCATGAAAAAGCCAGAAATATCTTGGCCCACAGAAAAGTGGTAACACAGAAAATGTTTCGTCTGATCGTGTTCCGCATTTAACCTACCCCATACAAAGTAGGTCCGCACTGGTGATTTGGGTAATCACAAGGCTTTCCTGGTTCCAATATGCCACTCCCGGATCAGCATAATTGCGCTAGCGGCCAGAATGTCCCGATTGGCAAGCACTTCGAAGCCAGCGCTCACCGATGTCCAAGACATTTCGCGGGGTGCGTTGCTTGCTCATGGTAGCCATTTTTTTGCATCTGCTATGACGGAAACGCTCTGACTCTCTTTGCTGGTACAACTCCCTCCATATAAGTCAAGGGGATGACTACACCCACATGGAGAAGTTGTGGCATCTTTCACCCAATCATAATCCCCACCTTCAGCGCGGTGTAGGCGAAGGCTGCAGTGTTGGGGTTGTAGTTGTTGTCTGTGCACTTGCCATCCGAGGAGATGATTCGGATGGTATCGCCTGTCGGAATGGTATCGCATTTGGCTTGGCATTGGCAAGGCTCATGAGCTGCACCCTTAACTAAAGGTCCTATGTTTAAAGGGAAACCAAACCAACATGGAACCATCTGGAGATTCTAGAATCGGCATGCGGCCACATGCGGCTGGTCAGCCAAAGCTACAACCGTCAACCGCTAGAACAAGCCGATGAACGTGCCGACCTCTACCTTCGATATCCACACAAATCCAATGTGGTCACAGTTGAATTGAATCCGCTAGGTATGTCTGCGAGTACAACAGCCCAAGCTGCAAAAGCAAATACATGCTGTATTTGTTGGCATGCCGTCACGATATCATGAACCTAAGAAGGCCATGTGCGTGTAACCTCTCGCCTAACTCGTCATGACATGATTCCACCATCATCATTCCAAACCAACCAGCAAAAGTATCATCCCTAAAGCGAATCCGACATTTCCGCACATGCAATCAATCCACAAGAGAGTCTTGCCAAACAAATGCTAACTAGTCTGGCGGCATCTGAAGTGAGCATGATGACACATCTGTCGGATTCAGTATCGCAAGTACGTAGAGCGCCAACCTGAACATGAGCTAGGGATGCGCACTAGGGATGCGCACTGGGTTGCACGCAAACCGCTCCAATGCAGCTGACTACTCCCGAAGGTCACCTCAGCTTTCGCCCCGACCAAACATGAGATCCTTGATTCTGGCCGCTGGCCCCCTGGCCGGTATTTGGTCAACCTTAAAAGTGAAACAAGTTCAAAAAAGATGCCGGAAAAGGGAGATGCCCATTGCAAGCAAACTCTTAAGCTCCGGCCTGAAGTGAGCCCGAAGCCCTCGTAGCCGAAGCGGAAGACCACGTTGGTGGAGAAGGTCCAGCGCTGGTTGATCTGCAGAGTGCGGCTGAACAATTTGGCACAATTCCAGGAAAACATCCTGCAGATTTGAGGGCAAGTCACAGCCAGCCGTTGCCGGCTACATTCCCCCAAGTGTAAGAGGAGCCTGGCTCCCATGTGCATCTTGACACCGGCAAAACATGAGCGTCCCCCTCCCCCGAATTCGCCAAAACCAACATGCGCTCGCTTTCGGAGTGGCCGCACCTGAGGGCCCTTCACCGTGAGGTGAGTCACCAGCTTCCAGTTGGAGGGCTCCGGACACCTGAACCGCGGCTGTGAGCTCTGACCAGGCTCTCTCCAACCGAGGTTCAAGCAGCTTCAACCCCATCGTTCCCGGGGGAACCCAAGGGAGGTCAATAGCAGCTACTGCAACAACCTTGGCACAAGGGTGAACACTATAAACTAAACTGTATAATTATCTAGTGGGGTCATTGCCACGGTTGCTCCTGCTTGGCTTCATGTCTGCAGAAATGACAACGTATTTGTCCTGGTTCTAAGTGATCCCCCCTGCTCAACGGACCCCCCAAAACATAGGCTACCCATCTGGGCAAGTTACTCGAGGAAAACCGCTCGGAAAGAAGGAATCGAGGCTTCTGCTGCCGCTTTGTTTTGGGTGCGGCAAGATGAAACAACCTCCGTGGTCAAAAGGTCAAGGAACGCCCACACAATGCAGCTCGCGTTAGCTGTTTGACTGTGATGCATCTGGCTAATTAACTCATTGGGTCCCACATTTCCACCCAAGGGGCCTTCCCATCAATGAACTTGGGCTGTGTTGCATGGTTGAGAAATGATGCAGGTCAAAGAAGGAAATGATGTTGCGCAAATTATACGGTTCGCGCACCACGTGGAACATAATCAAATCTGTCGCCTGTCAAAAGATGCAGTTTTGTCGCGATGGACTTAGCGAGTCCAGTCCAACCTGGTTTCTTCGGAACCGAGTGAGTCCCCCATGTGTGAGCCCCTGATTCAGCATTCCCCTAGTTGGGCTGTTTTGGTGGTTGGAGGTGGCTTCCTATTTACCCTCCAAATACAAGAAACACAGCTTTAAATCCCCAAACCGCCACTCCAAGCCACTAGTTGAGGAAGTGCTCTGATGGTTCAAGGGCTGCTGAAAAAAAAAAGCAACCAGGGAAACAGACCGAAGCTCAATAGCAGCCGAAGCCCCGCTGGCTTGGCCTTTGACCCCACCAAAAGGCAACTTACTTTAAATTGGCCTAAACAATAAAAAAAAGGTAATGTTGAAAGCCACCGGGACTCTTGGAGGGACCAGAGTTGCGGCGGTGTCAGAATTGGTTTGATCGTGTTCTGAACCCGGTTTGACTCGTTTTGCAAGCAATGAGTCGGACATCTCAAGAACAAAACCGTGTCGCGCTAGCCTTTCGCAACAGTATACTTGCAAAGCGGCTTGCCATGCAATGTCCTCTTACGCCATGCTGTCTGGACATGTCGAAGGAGGACGAGCTCAACAAACAAACAAACAAACAAACAAACAAACAAACAAACAAGCAAACGAAGCAAACAAACCAAACAAACCAAGAAACAAACAAACACACAAACAAATGAACGATCGAAAGGACGCACACACAAAACAAGATAAACACACACTCACACAAACAATCACACAAACAATCACACAAACACAAACAACTAAGCAAGCAAGCAAACAAAGCAAACACTTCAGACAAACAAACAGTCAAACAAACAATCAAATAAACAAACAAAACAAAACACAACACAACAAAAACAAAAACAAAAAACAAACCAGCAAGCAAACAAAACAAGCAGCATCGGACAGGATTCCGGCCCCTGCCACGCCAGGACTCCCGACGTGCTGTCCACAGTGACGGCGCAGTAGCAGACTGCCAGAGTGCCAGCCTTTCCAAGCTAGAACGTTCTGCCACTTTCAACATGTGGGAAATAGCCCGTGTGGACAACAGGGTGGGATTACCAGCCCATTTCACTACGTTTTCGAAGGGCTTAGATATTCCATCCCGAGTTTCAAAGGCAAGCAATAAGTGGACTTGAACAGTTTTACCACTTCACCCAGATCTTTACTCAAATGGTCCCTCTCGTAGGCAGGCGAGTCAAATGATGCGCCCTTAGAATGATGGACAAGGCAATGCGTTAGATGCAGTCCCGCATGGCTTAAGGCGGACATAGCTTGACTTTCGGATGAAAACGGTAGTTGGAAAGATCAGTACAGTGGCAAACACTGGATCTTGCCGTCACGGATCTGCAAAAACGGCTTTGGCCTTGTCTCCTTAAATCAGAATTCAGGAGCCTCCTAGTAAAGCAACTACCTCCCGAGCTTGTGCTTCTCACTTCTTGAGTGGATTGCCGAAAACAATCCCGTGCAAACCGCTTGCTTGCCACTACGATGGTCTTCCCAAGAAGTACCAAGTCCAGGAGCCCAGCTTTGTTTTACCCCCAGCTCCTCGCAATCTCTGCATGATCCCGTGCGCTGGCCCCGAAGCGCAGAGCCACTGATCTGAGTGCTGGACGTCTGTCACTGTGATGGTGTTGACCTAAGTGAGCCCAAGTTGCAACTCTGAGCCCAGCCATGGCAAAGGGCACATATGTTGTTGCTTGATCTTGGCAAAGGCTTCCCAAAGGCAAAAAGGGCGTGCCACTGCATGGATTGGTTCAAATGATGCTCGAAGCACAATTGACCCTGATTGGCTTGACAACAACGAAGCATGCGAGGCAAAGCTGGGCCAACTGAAGAGAGTGATGACCTAAGGCTTTGCCCGTTGATCACGGCTGTTCACCGCAGATCGCTTCATCCTTAATTGTCCGTGCCTGCTGGAATACAACATCCTCGCCAAGAAGCCCACTACTTCCGTGTGGAATCGAAACAAGTGTCGGCCGTGCTGTGTTGTGACTTGCCGGTGTTTGTCATGCTGTCGCCCGTCATGCCTTTTTTTGGCTCGTGTTTACCTTGCGGCTGTGACACTTGCTTGCAGCCTCGGGGCAAAAGAATTGGAATTGAAGACCACCTTCTGCAAGTCAGGAGGTGTCTGCGTCTGCAACTTACCTCAGCCACACCGGCGGTAGCAGAGTATGCAACTTGAAACACAGCTGGGGAGGCTTCTTCGAAGCCCACCAGTCTTCAAGGGCTTGCCATGGCATGTCTGGGTAATGCTTCATCTAAAGAACACATCCTCAAGTAAGGAACCTGTGTCACAACTGGCAAGCCAAACCTTTGTCAGCTCGCAAAGAGCTGCCCAGATTGGTGACAAACCCTGAGACGTCCAAATTCTCGGCCAGGTTCCCAGACCGGGTCAATGATTCAACGTCAGGCTGACAATGTGAGAACAATTGAACACTGAACCACATAAAGAGACATGCACATGTCCCTTCTGAAAAAACAAAGGGGAAAATCAAGCATTGCCTTCCCAATAGCTGTCAAATGATGGGTGTCTGTTTTTGGAGGACGCCCTCTTGGTTGGTTTTCAAGAGAATCCAAAAGGAAACAGGGGGGGTCGCCTCATTTAGAGAAAAGCCCAAATTGCCCGAAGCTCACTTGAGGCCCTCGGATTGTTCGAATCGCTCGCGCGTTCTGAGCAGAGAGCCCAAGTAGTTGGTGGAGGCAGCCACCTCGCTGGACAAGCCCTCGGAAAACCTCAGCTTTGCAGCTCAGAGCCAACTCCGAGGAGCCATTGGAACCTAAGAGGAAGTGTTAGTGTCTATTGGGGGGGGAAAACCGCAATGCCATGGCGCCCCTTGGCTCTGAATCAGGATTGGACGTGTTTGACATGTGGGTCTAGGTGGCCAGAGAGAAGAGACATCTTGTTTTTGTTGCTCGATATTTCCTCTCACCAAGGAATTATGCGCATGCCTCTTTTGGACGAGTTCACAACTTCCAGTGGCCTATCCGCGGATGAAGCGAAAGCGAAGTGAGGTATTCATCTGCAAATTTGACTATATCTCAAGGACTGAAAAATCCTCGAGCAAGGGGCCTCAAAATGGTGGTGGAGCTCTTTCTCCCGAAGGTCCGCTCGCTATGAATCATGCAGATTTATGAAAGACCTACCTCATCATGGGTTTCCGGCTGCACACCAGATCCGTGTGTAATGTCAGGAGACGATTAGTAAACCCCCCCGATTAAAGGTTCCCCCTTTTCCCCCCCAGATTCTCACCAATACTAAAGTAAAGTGCCAACAAGGTTTCCCCAAAAAAACACCACCCAATTATATTTGGGCCCTCCCCAAAACCCCCCCTGATTAAAGGTATCCCTCTGCAGCCCCCAAGCCAACAAAAACCTGCCAGAAAAGGTGTTTTCCTTCTTGCTTAGTATTTGCTTAGTCTGTGCTTAAACCCAGCAATACTAAGTCACTATTGAACCCCTCAAGTTTTTCCCAAAAATGTGCTTCCCCCGAAATGCATTTTTCTTTATTCTCATTTTGTTCTTTAAATGACAAGGTGTTCATGCTCACAAAGGGGACCCCGCTTGGAGGCCAGTCCCCCCTCATTAACAGGAACCCGCCGCGATTAATCAGGGCCCTTTTGGGCTCAAAACAAAAAAATGTGCTGTTGCCTTTTAAAGTCCTACTGCCCCGAAGGGACCAGAAGTAAGAGGACGAGGACCGAATGGGGCTCCAGAGTAATCAGGGGGGTCCTCCCAAAAATCTCGATTTTTGGGACTTGTCCAAACCTTGTCGACCTTGAAGGGGGCGGGGGGAGGGGGGGGGGGGGGGGGAGGGGGGGCTTTACTAATCAGTTGTCACCATTAAGGTCGATCGCTTTTATTTACCCATGACTGACGCATCTCCACCCCGCCACTAATCTCCTAGCTGATGCTGGGCCTCCAGCTGGCTGTTGTAACCAGACAAAGCGCATCCATCGTCATCTATCATCTTGTCCTGCGAAAAGGTCAGCCAAAAAGACAAAAAAAACAGAGACACGCAGACACAGAGACACAGAGGCACAAAGACACAGAGACACAGGCTACGGATTGATCCGGTGGACTGTACCTAGCCAGGGTGTCTCGCCTTCTAGCGGGACTTTGTTCGCTTTATCCGGATTCCTAGTACGGTCCGTTCGATTCTATCCCAAGTTGACATAGCTTGTGCAATGCACTGGCAGTTGGCGTGAAAGAATTCAGCTGGATGTGATGCCTTATGAAACATCAGTCCCTACTGGCCTCGGGGCAACGCTCGGAACATGCGTACCACAAAGCAGTCACCTTCGCTCGCGAAGAAACTGACCACCAGTGACCACCACTGCTGCTTGCTTAAGGAGCCGGACTGATTGCTTCAGGGGTGTGGGACACCAAGTCTATTGGGACCCCTGGACCTCCACTCACGTCCTTGTCTGTCACCAACTTCAGGAGGCTGTTCTCCTGCGGGTTTTATGTGCTTGCAGGAACAAAGTTTGTGACATGCACGTCAGCCAAGTGCATTGCGGTTGGGCAAATTGCATTTCCACTTGTGTGATGCTGGCGGAGCTTTCCAGCCACACATGTTCTACTTGGACTTGGACAAGGGGTTAGTAAACAAACAACACCTTTGCTCTCACAAAAGCTCCAGAATCACCAGCCCCTTCCCAAAAGGCAGCGCCGAAGGATTGCGAAAACAACAATGCCCCAGCTGCTTTGCTCCTTCTGATTGATTGAAACATATTGAATCTTGTTTTGGTTTAGGCCGTATGTACAAGTAAAGTGGCCGGGCGTAGATCCAAGAAGGACAGCGGATGTCTTAAGTGTCAAGTGGGATTGAGACTTGCAGGAATATGGGTCGGTCACAGATGAGGTTCCATGTGCTGACTGATTGCAATCCACCCTAACGCCGCTGTCAAGTTGGTCAAGAAAGAAGCCACCGGCCAGCCACTCGGAAAGCCGGGTGTAAATTTTGAGATGCGATGTCAATGGGTGTTCATCAGGGAGTACATGCAGCATGTGGGTGTCTCTTTTACCCCCCTCCCCCCAAACAAAAACGTGTTTTTCGTGTGGTTTCCTGTTAAAACCACCAAAAAGGGGTACCCTCAAAGAAAGCCAGACCCGTGGAGCAACTGTGTCTACAATTTTCTTTCGGAAGTCCCCCTTTGTGAGTTGCATGATTTGGTTGCTGGATTTTCCAGACCGCTTCTTGATTTGTCCGCGGAAATCCAAAGGAAAACCCACCAGCGGGGATTTGTCTCAAATATTTGAGAAAGAACCAATTGGGCAAGAGTCTTTGTTAAAGAGGAGCCACCTCCCATGTGGTGCTTCCGTCACTTAAGGCTTGTTTTCCTCCGCGTTGCTCCTCATTCTTCCCACGACTTCGCCTCTCCTGGAGCCCGAGAACGCCTCCATCGGCGTATGGCCTGTAAAGCCTCAGTCTCACGACCTGGCCCCTCCCAACACCTCCCAAAACCTCCAACTGGCTGAAGTCCCCTGGAAAAAAAGCAATATTTCCAGGAGTGATAGATTCCCTTCAAAACCAACAGGGGAAATTAAAGCAACGATTCTTAAGCAAAGGGAAGAAAACACTGGAGGCTTCAATCCTTTGCTCTTGGGAGTTGTTACCTTTGGCGGGGATTGGCAATTCCTTGGGGGGTGCCTTGCTCTTGGGAGCTTCGTGGCGCTTTTGGGGCTTTGCTTCACGAGGGGGGATCGGCGCCCCTTCTAAAGGATCAGGAAACTACACTTAAAATGTCGGGCCATCAAGTTTTGCAGGCCAAGGGAAAAAATGAAAGATTGAGCGGTCAGCTGCTGTTGCCTGGTTTCTCGCCTAAGCTTGGTCGTGCAAGCTCTCTGATGGCGCCAGGTAGCATGCTTCTAATAAATCAACACAGGAAAAATACATCCTGAAACAAGCAACCCCCGAGAAAGAAACTGCCAGAAGGGATCTTGCCCACATTAGCGATGGGCCGTTGCCAAGCAAGCGGAGCCGTCAGCTGTCGGCCAGGCCCCAGGGCCCGATGATGCCCGGCTGGTTCACAAATTCCAGACTCCACTGTGCCGGAAGGTCCGACCTGTCGCACTCAACGCTCAGGACGGGGGGGCGGTTTGAGATCTGTCTGGATATGTGGGATGGTGGAGTTGGTTTGGGAGGAATCTCCGAAGACACACGATCCTTCAAAAGGAAAGACGTGCAAAGCCCATCCAAGTGCACCAGCAAACACCTTGTTTGCTGAGCAAAACCACGTGGCACGTGTAAGGATATGTAATGGACTAAATGCGCCCACAACCAACTCAAACATCCCTCTTTTGTCACTGTAAGGCCTGCATAGGAGGCTGAGAGTCATGAGGACATCTGCATGCGCAGGCATCACTCATCATCTCTTGAGCCCGGTACAGTACACCTTGACCGGTATCTGCAACTTTGCCGGCTTCATGACTAGGGCATTATCAACGGTATCCGTCCATTTGCTCAAGATCAACAGATAGCATATTTCTATTCATCGCCTCCTCCCAAAGGGCAGCAGGGATTTGTAAACATCGGCTTCAGCAAACGCGCGCAAACAGAGTGACAGTTCTCTGGGCCCCTTCAGAATCGAAAGGACACCTTCGAGCAGCCCTCACCGAGTCTTGGAAGTGACTAGTATTGAGCCAAAGCGGGCTGCTCGAAAAATCCGAGCACGCGGTTGGCTGGCAAACCTGCCAAAGGGAAACCAAAGGAAGCCCATATTGAGCCCAATAGGGTTGATCCAACGACCCTACAACCATATTCGACCTTGGCTCTTGGATCATACGGCTCGGAGCAACCCCAGATTATGCATACATTACACTAGACAAATGTGGAACCCCCAAAACCAGTATCTTTGGAGGGGCCCTCAAAAACAACACCTCGGCCAGACTTAGACCCAAAGTGATAGCTTCTGGCTGGTTGAAAGGGAAAAGGATGGAAACCCAAAAGGGCAAACAAGCAAATGAAATTAAAGGTTTGTTGATGACAACAAAATCGTAGTTCCCTTTGAACAACAACCCCCAAGAAACGACCCCCTGCCTCGAGGTTGCAGCGCTCACGAGGCGCGTGGAGCCTACGGGACGCATCCCGAGTGGGCGTCGTTCATTTTTGATGCCAGGGTTGTTTGGGGGTGTGGGGTAGCGACTTAGGGGTTGGATTAAAGCCAATGCTTGAGGAATTTGGGTAAGCCCCATGCCTTCTCCAAACACTCGTTAACTGCAAAACACACACTGCTGACAGAACTGCAGATCAATATGCCGATGGCCCGACACGTGCCAAATGTGAAGAAGTGCACCCATAGGACCAGGCTCAACAGTCAACTTTCGAGGGAGTGATATAAGAGCAACTGACAAAATATAACAGTCATGATTATGGGAGTCAACTAGTAATTGCTTAGTTCCTGATATTCGATCCAACTCAGAACAAAAGTTCAGGTCGGCTTTGGGAAGTGAGCTGTCCTCGCACTGCAGTGGCTCAGAGCTCCTGAAAACCTACGACCCACCCCCTACCCCCCAAGAAGGGTGCTAGAATGGCTTCTGACCTGCCTGGCGGATGGGGGGCCGGGGGGGGGGGAGCTGATATTCTCCCTATGCGGGGCTTGGAAACAGTTCCCATCCCACATTGGAGTTGTCTCAGAACAAACCCGGTTTCCCTTTGGATGTCCCTTTGAAACACACGCCTGAAACAGGGTACGGATCCCACAAAAAGACATGCAAAACAAAATAAACCACCTTAGCATGCAGCTTGACAACCACCCAATTGCCACCCACTGATTTCTCGCTCTGGATGAAGCCAATGCAGGGCACTGGTACTGTATCTCTTCTGCGTGGCAAGGAGATGCCAGCTGGGTGCTGTTTGTTACACCACATGAGATGTGAAGTTTGAGGGTTTGAAAACCAACAGGCAAGCCACCATTTGTTGGGCTCTCCTATTTTCACATGTAGGTACGGCCGTCGTAGGGCCCGTAAAATCATTGCCCGACTAAGGTTCCGGGCTCAGTCTCATGCTGCCCACTTTGAACCAGTTGGCTCCAGTCTCAGCACGCGGGTGAGTCGAGAGAGGCCCCTGGATTGTGCTCCAGAGGCAGCTTGGGAACGATTGTGAAACCCCGAAGTCATTTTTTATCCAACAAAACGGTAGGGGGTTCCCGCAAAAACCGCAAACACATCCCAGAAACAAACGTCTCCTGCGCTTCTCCCAAGGCCCAGGCGTTGCAGTCGCCATTGCAATAACACACGTCGACCTCTTTTGAGGTGTGAAACCCGCGTGCCTGGCAGGTCGGTGCTGTCGCGCCAGGGTATGGTTTGGGTGCGGCTTTTGGATGCATCCACTCCTGGAGGATATCAAAAGACTACATCAACAACGGCTTCTACACCAAAGGGTTGAATGCCCTGGGGCCAAACACCTTGGACACAGGAAGGGCAAACCAGACGCCTAAGTTACCATCTCCAAAGAAGGGAACAACTGTTTGAACTTATCATACATCCAAGCAGGTCAGCGTGCATGGTGAGCTCGATTTACCCCCAGGTGAGCTTGCCAGCAGATATCAGGCAAACTGGGCACCGAGGTCTGGGTCTTGACTAGGTCCTCCAGTAGAGAGGTTGGAATAAGGGTACCCGATTCTTTTTCTGTAGTCTATTTTAGGGGAAACCTCCCAACCAAAAAGGGGTGAGAATTGGCCTCATGGCCCCCGCCTCATGGTCCGTCGTGCCCATCATGAATCGGAAGCCGTACGCGCCGCCGAAGACCTGGCACAGTCTGCTTGAGCTTGCGAAAGGGCCGTCGGCAGGCAGGCGTATGGTGTTACGCCCGGCCCTTTTGAGGTCGCCATTCCGTTTGCCCAGAGCAGAGCCCGGCAAAGACCAAGCATGTGGGGCCTCAAACCCAACACTTTTTTTGAAGGGTTCTCTGGCTCCATTTACCCTCTCTGGGCAAAATGGAGCCACAAATGGCATTTCAGGAGAACCCCGCTTCCCCCAATTCCCTCAAAAATACGTCCATGACAGTGACATCCTGAACAAGCCACTTTGATAGTTATTTTGAGCAACGCTGAAAATGGCAACCAACTTTTTGGGACCCAAAGTGAGATGCTACGCGCGGTGGTTCGCATCGTTCTGCACCCACGTAACCCGAAACCCTGCCTTGTAGTCTTGGCGCGAGCCCCCGGTGAGACGGCAGCCGACCGGAGAGCCTGGGTCGCCTCAGAACCGCATCTCAGGGTTCCATTTTGCTGGGCTGTGCTTTGGACCCAGAAAAGTGCAAAGTGATTGTTTGCCACCCGAAGCAGAATTGGACCCTCCATTGGAGTGGATCTCTAGGTTTCGCGCCTCCAAAAAGCCCTTAAGGCGAGATTCTCAGGACATCGAAATGGTCCCAAAAAGTGTAGAGTCCAGCAACTTGAGAACTAGTCTAGTCGAAGTCGAGGAACCTGGCCGGTGAGCTGACACCCAGCCAAGCTTCAAAAGATCAAGCAACTGGGCTCTTCAAGTTTGAGGTTTGCATGGGGTATCCAAACTTTCTAAACCACATCAAGAGGGTTCGCCAATCCGATTCCATCCGTATTAGAACATAGCCACCAAAAACGAGCAAGCTGGTGAGGAACCTGCACAACTTTGGATGTGAGTCCTGAGGGGAAGTGCGCCTGAAGCGGCACGGTGGAATCGGTCCTGGATAGCGTCTAGCCTGTCAAACCCTGAGAGAAAACAAAATCGGCGAACCACGAAAGCGCTCTCAACTATGCAACAGTGGTTCAGGTAAGCCCTTCTATGTGGAGATTCGCATCCCTGGGATTATTGTGTCATTTTGAAGTACATCCCCCTGAGTATCAAACAAACATCCACAGCCACAGCCCGAGAAGTCTAAGTCGGCGGACAATTGAGCTCATTGAGCACACCGGTCGGGGACCCATCGATGGGGACGTAGCTGGTGGTCGGCAGGACCTCAGGGCTTCTTACAAAAGGGGCCTCTGCACTCGCTCACCAAAAAGGGGCTCCGATGGGAGAAGTTCAACGTTGCCAATTTCCTTGGGGCTCTGCTTCCAAACACTGAGAAACACTCTAGAAAGGACCTTCATGGGTTGGAGGTCGCAAAATCAAACCCTCTGTCACGTCTCGATTTGATTTCCCCACTCTGGTGAAGGCTCAAGCGCTAGCAACAGATCCAAAACAAAGAACAATGCCGCATGCCCCTGCATATTCTAGTTCAAATTACCCTCCACCCACTAACATGGAAACCACACGAGTGGGAGGCGAGCTTGCACTGTTCACCTTTCGAAGCGAAATGGCGTGCCCGGACGATCCAAAAGACACGATCCAAGGGAATCAATCTAAGCAACGGAGCCGCTGCAATCGAAACAAGGCAACCACTTCACTGAAAAAGAAACCAGCTAAGCACAATTACACCGAAGCATGCAATCCAAGCCAATCGAACCTTACCAGACAAACGCTACCAATCCACTGCACCTGACCGTGCCCATAATCCAAGCCAGGACAACTGAAACCAGATCACTGCAACAACCAGACCAACCATCTAGGCACCACACCAACTCAATCCAAGTCAAGCACAACTCCAGAAGTCAAGTCGCCGCAACAGGCCAAACCAATATTCCATGTGATTTTAAGGTGCCATTCACAAATATTAACATGCCAGCCATGCGCACCCTCCAAAACCTTTAGGGGGAACAAGACATCAACCCCTTTGCAACAGGCTTGGCATACCCCGAGCAACCGGACTCGCTTAGGGTAACCCTACGGGTGTCCAACGAGGAAGGGAGGACAGCCAGACATGTTCTACTCAGACAGTCACCCTAAATCTATTGGACATTTATTGTCCACTCATATTTGAGCGAGTTCCATTCCTGAGGTAGTCTAATAGCCCCCCTCCCTCAGGTTTCATGGCGACCTAAATAATTGCACACTTCCATGATCACAAGATAAATTGGCTTTGACTGATGGTAGCGGTAGCGGTCTAAAAAGGACAACCTGCAACACGGCCCCCTCACCCTGCAACACGAAACCAATGGCACGCCTGAAGTCCGCCGACCATCCCATGCAGCCCGGTCTCAGCGGGGCCCGGTGCGGTGCGTCCCCCGCACCCCCCCGAGATGAGACCTATTCCAATCCAAAGGGCATAAGAAGGTTACCAGGCAACTGGTTCAAATTCCAGGATGAGATTTGATGCTTTAATTCATGCTTTAATTCCAGTTGTTGTGTTTGCATTGTTTGCTGCTTGTTGCTTTTGCTCTGAGCTCAAACTTGTAATTGTCTTGCAGTTACTGAACAAAAACGATACATCTCCATTCTTTCAGGGATCCGTTCGAACAATACAAAATCCCGAACAACATACTAGAAGGATGATTGAAACAAAATGACAAATTAGTCCCTTGAATGACTTCATGTGACACCAACAAGTCGACTCGTTCCACGAGTGATGGGTTTGGCTAAACCCATGCTAGCGTCAATTGCAGCGGCTGATTGCTTGAAGACATGCCAAGGCATCTATAGGCACGGGCGCCAAGACAGATCAGAACCATCGGCTTGGCGAGTCGTTTGAGTTTGCCCACATTCTGGAGTCCATACAATCGGCTTTTGTGAAGTGCAGTCAATGCAGGACCCGACGCTTCAGAGCCGGCACAAGCCTCCTTTGACTGCAGTCAAGATACTTTGTGTTGATGCAACATTATAAGACTTGTGCCAACCCCTAAAATACAATGTATGGAAGGGGGGGGACCGCAAATCAAATGACCCTCCCTACATGTTTACCTCTGTCACAGGAAATCATGCATGCAGGAGCAGACTGGGGGGGCCACGTTTTGCCCAGTTCGGAGATGGAATTCAGACTCAAACAAACACTTTTTCAGCTAGGGATGATGATTGATTGCGGCACATTGGACCCAAATATAAACCATGCCCATTCAGGTTGCTAGCTTGGTGACTGATTCTCCCCACATAAGCCGTATACAAATAAACGACAAAATTTGGGCTTCATGCCAGTGGGATTACAGAGTCAAAATATGCGGATACCGCAAAGGACGCGCGACAGTTTGCGAGTCACCTCCCCAGCCCAGGGTCTTTGGTGGTTGACATTTGGATCTCGTCCTCCATGTTTTGAACCCGAAGTTGACCACATGGATAAGTTCATCAGCTCACATCCCACCAAACTGGCCAAGGGTTCCGAATTTTGCGAAACACCTCTGAGGTTTTGGTCCGGCCTCGGAGTCGGCTCTTAGACCCTAAAGCAATCTGGGGTGTGGTGCAGCCCAAAACCCTCAGGCATGAATGTTGCTGCATGAATGTGACTGGAATGAAGAAGTAAATGTCAAGCCGCGCTTGGCTCGGTTGGTTTCTGGTGGGTTTCCCTTCAAACAGCAACTCAAAGGGTCCCCTCCAGTTTGAGACAAACCCAGCCGTGTCTGTGGCACCGCTTGGCACCCAGGCCCGACAGCCATTGCCGGTGTCCCAGGAGGGCAGGTCATTGGAGAGGGTCTTCTCCACCAACTTCATGCCTACGCCACCGTCATAACTTCTTGCTTCTTCAAGAGGCAGGACATTTGTGCGTCCCCCTGATGTTTTGAACGGAAATTTAGAGCTCGCCCCCCCCCCCCCCCAGGTCCTTCCCAAATTAGGTTGCCAGTAATTGTGTAAGTTTGACCGAAACTAATATGTGGTTGTCCAACGTGTGAAGTGGTGAACATCGCCAGATTTGTTTTGCCTCCCGGAAAAATCAAGACAAAATCCCGTATCATCCTCGGATGTCTTGACCTTCAAAGGCCTGGTTGCTCTTCTCAATGGGAAGGGATTTTGCATCCTGACTTCTCGCGCGCGACAGCGTGAACCTCCAAAGCCAGGAAGCACAGGCACCGCTGGTGGCCGGGGAATGAACCAACTGATCTCCAGTTCGGCAAAGGGAAAAGCACTTTCGCCACGCAAAGTCGCACTCTACGCTACCTAGCAGCATCACACACCCAGGCGGAAGCTAGCCACAATAGGTAGAAGCGGCCATGTTTAAACTGAATTAAACGGGACATATAGAGACCCCAACTGCAGCTGAACTTCGGACAATGCACGCATACCGGCTCCACATTGCGCTGTAACATGTGTCTTGTTTGGGTACCCCTTTGTAGAGTTGTTTCAAAAGGAAATCAAATGACTGAACCATGGTTGCCCTTCGAAGCCCTCAAAGGAACCAAAGAATCCCACAGGTCTATCAGAAAACCAAATGGCTCTATCAGCCAAAGCCCTGTTTGTCCTCAAACATTGGATTCCCATAAAGAACCATCCCCAATTTAAGAAACGGCCTCATGCAGTGGAATCCACGCTACAAATTGTCTAAGACCCCTCCCATATCACCATCCTTTCCCACGGTCCCAGTAGCCACATCCGTTTCTCATGTAGGTGATCAAAACATGCCGTCCATGTTTGATGGGTTCTTGTTTGCGTTATTCATTCATGTTGTATTTGATTTTATTTTTTGTTGGGGGGGGGCGGGGCGCAACCGTGGTGTGTCCAGCGGAAGTTTTGGCACCTGCGAAGCCGCAAAGTTATGATGTGGCTCGGGGCAAAAAGCCACGCCCACTCGGGGGTCCGTCTATCGGCTAAAATCAATCAACATGAAATTGCTGAAGCGAACCATGGAAGCTCACCCAACACTCATATTGTCCGTTGTTCACAATGTGGCTTTTTGTGGGAGTTGCACGCGGCAGGCGTGTCCCACGGAGGACATTAACCTTGGTTTGACACGTTGCAGGTTGCGAGTCTGAATGTTGGCTTGTAAGTCAGCTAGAGGAGGATCACCCCAGAAGGTCTTCGATCAACACTTTCGAAGGGAGTCCTCAGCAAAACCATGCTAGGATGGAAAGGGCCAAATCCTTTTTGACGAGTTCGCCGAGTGGGCCATGAACCACAATTTGGAGATCCCTGACACAGAGGAAGCCACAGCAGAAGCAACTGCTGAAGCAACTGCTGAAGCAACTGCTGAAGCAACTGCTGAAGCAACTGCTGAAGCAACCAATGCGGAGGCTGCGTGAACCAGCGAACCGTCCTGGGAATGTATCCTTCCTGAAAAGGATGCCAAGTCAGAGTTGAGACGCACAGCTGGGTGCGCAAGGCCAGCAAGGAAAGTGAGGGTGTGAGGGCGTTAACATGATGCCTTTTCGCCCAGAATTGGGAGCAATACCCATAAAGGGCAGCTCCTCAGGATGTTGAACCGCTTGCGCAGACACGTGCCTGCGCCATAGAAAGACTTTATAGATTATTTTTATACATTTGAGTTGAACGAATACCTACACTTATATGTGTGTTGTTAAAGGAAGTTTAGGAAAACGGTGTTACGGACATTAATTTAGAGTTGCGTCTTGCGCGCAGCGAACGAATGTGAGAAAATATGCGTGGCATCTGGCGAGAAAAAATGACCCTCTGCGTGTCATGGCGTCTTTGGCGGACTGAAAGATACTTCGGTCTCGATGCCTGATGCCCACCAGCACGGCGCGCACTTTTCACCACATTAGCTCTTCTCGCGGATTGATATATATATATATAGAGATTGGATGAATACAATTTTATATAATGTTTTATTCGATTCATAATATAAACAAAGGTGGTTTAGTGCCAGATAATACGATGTAACATGAATGTAGAAGAATGTGGTTTTACAAAGTTCGGTGTGGTTTGATTTGGTTTGAAGCGAAGTAGTGTATAATACTAGAGCTAATAATGAAAAGTATGTTAATTTTTGATTGTTTTAGGATATATGGTATAATAAGATAAGGGTTTGTAGAGATTATAATTGTTTGTTGTAGTGGTTTTCGTTGTTTTTCTCGTCTGGGTTAATTTTAAGTTGCCGAATCCGGGTTTTTAATTTAGGTTTTGGATTTGGGTTTTGGGCCGGATTCCGGATTATTCTGGGTGGCAATTATGGATTTGTCTCAAAATGTCGGAACTCGCAAATGGGGGTGGTTTCCCTTTGGCGTTGCCTTTCAAGCACACCCAAGACGGAGGCACCCGTATACCTCGCTGGCGATACCCCGAGGCCCGGGCGATTCTGGTCATTCATCATGCACGCATCTGTGGGGCACTCCACACGAATTCGAAAGCGATACCTCAGTGGCTGGAAATGCGACTTCCCAATCTCTTGGCGTTCGCTTACTGAAATGGGGGAACTCTCCGAAATCACGTTTCTAGGTTCTCCCTTGCAAAAACAACAATTCAGTTGGCCTATGGTCTCATTCACAATTCATGTCAGCTTTCCTTGTGCAAACTGACCAGGAAGATCTGAAACGGGTTTTTCAAAGTATACTTCTATCTTGATGGAAAGCTGCTTTGGTCATAGCCCCTAAAAAGACACACCTATGGTGTCACAGAATACATTGGTTTCCCTTCGACCCCCCAAAGCCCAGATCTCCGGTGGCCATTGGGTTGAGAAAAAAGGGGGCCCTTTTTCTTTTTGTTGCACTGTGAAGGAAGCCCCGAGGTCTGGGTCACTTCCGTGGGTTGGCCAAACTTTCTGCTCGCCATGGTCCAAAATCTACAGTCCAACTCACAGAGCGAGCGTCACACACTGGCACAACCTCTGTCTGAGCCACTGGCTGGCCAGTGACACCGGTGAAATCTTCTGTGCAGTCTCCGCTCGCGTGGCAGACCTGCCGAAGGGCAGGCGAGGGAAGTCATCCAACCCAATTCGGGGACCCTGTCCAACCCCGAAGCTGTTTTTGTTGACCTCCATCTTTCCTGTTGGTTCATGGGCTCAAAAGACAGGTGGGTCGCAACCACAGAGCCTCCACTCTTTTAAACAGTCCAAACGGAGAGTAGGTTTCCCATCTTAGGAAACGCCCCGATATGTGTGATACTGAAAACACGGCCTATGACTTATTCATGTTTTAAAGACGTTTGTCTCCTAATGGCTCGGCCGGACCCCAGAAAATTGTGGCTTCCTGTCGGTCTTCAAGCAACCCCAAACAGGATACCAAGCCTCAAAGAAAGACACCCATTTAAAGGAAAGGCTTCCTGGTTGCTCCGATTTGGCAAAACAGTGCCCCTTGGAGTCACTGTGCCGGCACGAACCACCTTGCTGACCTGGCACAAATCCCACGTTAAAAAAAGCTTGCAAGTTCTCTCGCTTCCTCCCAGGGCGTCTTGAAAGACAGATCAAGTATGTCAACACAACTGTTGACATGTCAGCATGCGGACTTCATGCCCCTCTAGCATCCTGTCCTGTCAATGTGAATCGCTTTGCCTCATGTCTGGCAGGCTTCTACCAGGTCAAGTGAATCAATTCCATCCGACAACTTGTGCAATACCCTCTTTCCAACAAACTCTCCCAAAGGAAAGTCATCTTCCAATGTCCTCGAGTCAGCTTCCACCATAAGATGTGTGCCAAAGACAAAAGCCTGCCCAGCTTGGTCAACGTTCAATCCTACACCTAGGATTCCAAGATGTCCTTTGTTCATTCCCCAAAGGATCCGCAAACTGTTCACCTTTTGGAACCGTGACTAAATATGGATCAAACCAGGGAAAGCACAAGCAAACATGTACCAAACTGTGTCCCACTTATTCCAAGGAGTCGGTCCCATTTCCTCGCATTTGCGGTTGGTGAACAAAAGCCAGTCCGCTTGCCTTGCTCAGGTAGAAATGGAGGATGCCAATCTGGCAACACGGCAAATCACGGTCATTGCTCACCGTGTTCACATTTTGGTGAGCAACTCCGATTTTCCAGTCGTAGCGTACTAGATTGGTGAGCGTACCCACTATCGTTCCCTCCACCACGATCAATGGCAAAGCTGATCGTTGCCTGAATGATAAGCCATTCGAACTGGAATCCTGAAGTGCAAGGCCAAAGGAAATAGGAAAAACGTGTGGAAGTGGCAATTGCCAATTTGAGGCTTGACGATCACATGAATTCCGGGTGGCACAAAGATAGTCCCGCTTGGACACCTGGGTTGGTCTGGGAAGCAGTAGAAACTGCAAGGTGCCGACTGTCACGAGGTCGAACCAAAGAGCAACAAACAACAAATATCAACGAGGCCATTCTCATGCTGTCCAAGGAGCCCAAGCAAAACGGCGGTCGCTTTGTTTGATAGCCAGTTGGGGAATGCTGACTGGCGGCCATGAGCCCCGGCCTGCTGGATGAAATCCGTGGTCGCCATGCACCCGTCCCTGGCGGGTCACTCGACTGCGAGGATGGTTAACCTGAAAGCCTCACTTTCTCTGGGGAGAAAGCAGGTGGCACAATTTCTTTATTTTGGTTAGCCATCCCTCGTTTCTTACGTACAAAGGGAATCTACTTTCATGTGCCGTCACTTTCACACTGGTGTACATCTGGGGACCCTCCCACCCACGTTGCCTTGGAATTCTCTGTTGCGGGTCCCAGTTAGAGACATTTCCAATGCCAGGTTCCATGTCAAGCTACCCAAGTCAGGGGATATTTTCCGGGTGAGCTCGTTTTCCCGTGCCGTGCCCAGGGAGATCTGAAACAAGGTTTGCATCAAACACATCATTTCAATGATTAAAGCTCCGCTCATGCAACCATCTGAAGTCTGCTAAAACCCGCTACCATGCAAGACACGCTTGAAGCACTAGGGCCGGTGAATGCCTGAGCTTCCTCACTTCCTCTGTGCATGCCCCCCAAACTCTGCATCTACCACCAGAAGGGTCCAAACCAAAACGTAAGTCCAGAAACTCGGGGCGTCTTTGGGTTGAGACACATAAGCCCCCACCCCAACTGACTCTCAGCTTGACAGCTCGCCTATCTGGGCAGTAGCAAGCAGCCACAGTGCGAGCTTCTGAGCGGGGCGCGAGCGTCGGCCCAAGCTTGGGGTTCCTTGAAGGATAGATTACATCCAACAATCGCTGCTGGACATAGGAATTCTCTAAATCAGCTGGCAGTGATTTTCTAGCTGGTATCCTTGACTCCTCAATCAGAAGGTCGGATGCTGCCAAAGGCAGCGCCCACAAAAAACACGGAGCCTTCTGTAAAATCTGCACAGGTGCTGAAGGGGGCCCAAGCTGCGCGGGATCAAAAATTGGGAACTGCCAGAATGCGCCTCGGTGTCCTCATACTATGTAAACCAGCCCAAGGGTGCCCTCAGAATAAACGCAAACTGAAACATGCAATACTGTCTTGTATTGAAAGTGTCACGCTTTGGCAAGCAGACTGCAAGTGTCTGTCAGTGCCGCAAGATATGTTTACTCTCACCCCCGCCATCTGCAAGATTGCGCATCTGATGGATGGGATTCCATGTCCGCCCAAGGGAAAAGCAAAAGACAACAAAAGACCAATACTTGCCTCTCATTTGCCCAGCGATCTTGGTCGATAACGGAACCTTTTGTGGGGTTCACCACTTTCAGCCGGGTACCCGCGAAACAAAAAGGGAAGAAGGAATTCACAGAAGTGCCACTGCGCAACTAGGTTTTCTGTTCGTGGACATGCCGCCACCAAGCTCCAAGGAGAGTTTTCCCTTCTCATTGCAGAAGCGAATATTGTCCGTGCGCATCGAAGCTTCCTTTTTGCCGTCTCCCACAAAACTCGAACCAAGCGAATTGAGCTATGCACATCAAAACTTCAAAAATGGACTCCCAAGAAAGGACAGCTCATGGATTTTCAACTCAAACAGGGGTCACTGCATTTCCCCTTCAAAAGCTGCAGTTTGCTGGTGGATTCCAACAAAATTGCCACTATATAGTGTACAGTACGGTCCACGCTTCGCCCGAATCCGCGATTCTCAGGCAGCGGCTGTAGGTGGTTGTACTGCCGAAGGCGTTGCCAAAGAGGTCATTTCCTTGGGTCAACACAAAGCAAAACCAGACTTTGACGCACACATAGTTAACTTTTTCTAGCTGAAAGGGAGAATGACGGAAAACCAAAACGGCAAACGTTCCAACGCTTAGTTGGCAATGAAAGGAGGTTCTCGATTTCGGGTTGTCTGCAAAGAGGAGCGCCATGATGATTAGTCTGCAGTCCCAAACCAGCCGGAAGTACCCATAGTACCCTCAAAAACAGACACCCATGTTGCACACGCATCAAGCCCAGGAATCCAGGTACAGGAAGTGGGATTGGCACAGACTTCGCAGCGCTCAGTTTTGGGTGCTTCAACTCCAGCTGCGCATGTTTGGCCTGGTTCCAGGGCACCAGTCATGATTGACGCTCAAATGATTGGGCGTGGGACCTGTTGTGATGGATTTACTTTGATTCACCAATAGGCCGTTTAGCCAACGACAAAATGTCATACCCTGAGATGCTACAAAGCCCCGTATACTTCCCCTTGAAGAATCACCCCCACCAAAAGGAAACTCACCCTGAATTGACTCAAAAGATGATGCTCAAAAACCCAAAAGCGGAAATAAAGGGAGCCCTGTGCTAAACACCCAATTCAGCTGCACCGAGCTTGCGGCGAGTGGTGGGGATGTTGATCCTCCTGGAAGAGACCTGGGCATTTCCCGCCACATGCGGCGGAGATTTGCGGGACCGGGCTGAGTCCCAAAATGTTGAGATGCAAACAGGAGACACAGCGAAAAGGATCATTTCTCCGAGAACCACATCATCTCCTGCCTTTTGACTGGCGGTTGGTTGCCAAGTTGGACTGAAGAAAAACCAGAAGGGAGATGGAAGTCACTTGTTAGGGGTTCAAATCCTATGCTCCGGCCGTTGTGGCTGACACATCTAATAACCTAATAACCTGGGCTTCATACTTGGGGTTCATATACTAGCTGTGTGCTTGTTGAGGCTCAGTACCCTTTCAGGTAGGTATCAAGGGAAACCAACCGGAAAAGCAACTAGTTTTGCCCAAAACGGGATTTTGCAAACGTGGCGGGCGTCCTTGTGGTTTCTGCTCATGAACCAAACGAGTCAGCTAAAGACTTATCACCCCATACTTGTGATCCCGCGTCCAACGACATCAGGAAAATAGCTTGCAACCAATGCAAACAACATGCAGCTGCTGCATGAGATGAAGATGGCATGACCATGGTCCGCCCAAAAACATGTGAAGACCTAAAATGGTGGTCGCACCTCTTTATGACTGGGACCCTCTTCCAGGTTGTGACTTTGCCTCGAGTGGACAACGCAGGGTGTTTCCCCCCGCAAGCGATGCATGCCCGGGGTGTAACATTTGCACGCATAGGACTGGGTCATACCTGGAGGAAACCCTGTCATGGCCATGGGGCATAACCTATGGCTCCATTTTGGGGTGGATGAACATCCAGTTGGCACCTATTTTGATGTTCACCAGGGGTACTGGGTTTTGACCCACAGCCATGAGTTAGCATACACCTCCCTCAAGCTGATCACGCATTGTTTTTGGTGGGTCCTCGACCCCTTGCAACAAGTCAAACTGATTGCTTCTGATGGTAGGGATACGATGAGCTATCAAACGATGAAGGCCAACCCCGAATTGGTAAATGAATCGGAAAGTGAGGAGTTCCCTCCAACATTGGACACCCCTTCTGCTTCTTCTTCTTCTATTACTAGTTCACCAATCCTGGACTTATGGTCAACCAAAATTGAGGGTGAAACCAGCGGTCGTAATCAACGACTTGAAAGCCCAGAAACCCTCAATGCCCCACCCGCGTGACGAGGTGCCGATTCATCTGGCAAGATGTAGGGATCGCCCGCCTGGTGGAGGAAAGCGAATGGCCAATCAAGCTGAAAAAGTACTCCCCTGCACGTGCATATAGAACGTACTGGTACCACACACATTTCCCGTTGGTGGAGGAAGCTTGTTTTGGGGAACACTCTTTGGGTTCCATGGTTGTTTCGTAGGGAACAATTATTTCATTCGCCCCAATTTGCCGCGGCCCATGCCGTGGCAATGACTAAAGCAATCAAAGCTGGACCCAACATAGCCCGAGACACAATCAATCAACCGTGCTAAGCTTGCTGTACAGCAAAGCCTTGGTAAACCAAACATGGCCACTGCTTGCTCTCTCCATTTTCCTGGAAAAGTCTCGTACAAAAAACAAGAAGGAGTTGGAACCGCACAGACCTGGATCCCGCCTCGCACGCGCCGCCATCCTTGGTCGATGAACATGTCACCCCGGCCCGATTGCCTACAAACCTGAATGCTGAGACCTTCAATATTCGACAGACATCAACGCGCAAATCATGTCCACCAATGTGTCCCAAAAGAGAAGAAACACACTCAAGAGTCGTCTGCAGTGCAGTTAGCCAGGTAAGGCTTGATCAGTCATAGTGATTCAATTTAGTTTGGCAATAAACGGTTCTTCGAACATTGAGGACTCTTACCGCATGCCATTGATGCAAGCAGTGAACCAACATCAGCATTGCATGCAATGTATAAGTATTGAGAATAAATGTCATCCTTCGACGATCTTCTCTATACAAAGCAAACATCACACGTCAGCCATTCGCCATTGATCTGTCGCAGGCTTGTTCGCCACGGCTGGGCAGGGCAGTTATATATGGACAACCCAGCAAAACAAGCGGGACTGCAGGTACTATTGCTCGGGTGAAGCCACCCTTTTCTGCAACTCAAACAGGAGAAGGACCTCCCATCTTGAGCCTCCCCCTAGGCGTTGCCATTTGGCCAATTCCGGTTTTGGAACAAAACCGGAAATCCATTGAGGTGTATAAAAGCCCAGGGACACCCAATCTTTGGCTTCCTGTTCGGGGCGAAAGGCAATGATCCGTCTCTGGATGTTCCCATCTGCAATTTGATGTGTTCGAAACACTGCCACTTTTGGTCCATTGGATGTTGAGAGACCCCCCTCCTCGTACATCCGAGTCTGTTTGTTTTAGGCTACTTTGATCTATTTGGTTTGCTTACAGAAAAGAAACCAGCAAACAACAAAAACATGCGATTTCCTTTGGGGCTTCTTCCCCACGAGCCACACCCATCAGGAAGCGCGCGGATCGTCTCTGCTCGGCTTCCGTTTTTCGGCGAGCGGCGCGGCAGATGAAGGCCGCAGGCTCCGAGAAGGCGCAGGGCTGCACCTGGCGCCGAGCTTCGCTGAGGCCCAAATCCCCAGCTGAAAGGTACTAATCGCATCGTGGGTTTCTGTTTTTGATAAACGTCACTGGATGTCCAAAGCAAAAGTTGTCAACTTTTGCTGTGGCTTTAGCTTGAAACTGCCACTTTTGGAGGTTCCAAAGAGAAATTATGGATGAAACCCTGTCTCAGGGCACCCTTTTTAGGTTGGTTTAAAGGGAAACCAAAAGGAATCCAATCATTTTGGTCATGGCCCTATTTTAAAGTTGGGTCTCTTCGATTCCCGCACAGAGTGGGACCTGAAAGGGGACTCTGCCTTTGGGCGTCCACCGAACTGCTGCAAGAAATCACAACCCCGCAGTGTTGCGGTTCAATAGGATATGTCAACTTGTGACCAATTCAATGTTTGAAGAGGTTAGTTGCACCCTATGTTCCACACTTTTGACCCCCCCCCCAAGTCGAGGAATCCTGTTTGGCTGATTCCGCTTTCCTTTCCCTTTAAACCAACCCCCCAAAAGGCCCTACTAGGATTCAAGGCCATGCGAGGTCTTTCTCCGCTGCACAACATGTTTCCCTGAATTTCATCACGCCTCCCAACGGAAAATTCACCTCAAATGGCCAAACAGGTGATGTTCGAACCAGCTTTCAAGGTGAATATAGGGACCTTCAGACCTCAGGGTACAAAATGGGACCTCCAAAATCATTGGTTTCTCGGTGGGGTCCCTTAGGGCCAACCCCGAAAAGGGTACCCTGAAGCAAACACTCCCCGGGCTGTGCCTGCACGCCGGTCACCGCACCCTGCTCGTAGGTGGCCAGAAACTCCGCTGTCCAGCTACCTACCCGCAGCAGGGATCCCAAAGTTGAGTTGATCTTCAACGTTTCTGATGTTTTCCTCCACCCAAATTGGTTCATCCAAAGAACATGTTGAGAAAGTTTATGGTCTTTCACCAACATGTGGAAGCCGTGAAAAACCACATCGTGTGTACGTCGCAACGACCTGTTGAGTTCCTTTGTTTTGCTGAGGTTCATCAATCGCCAGTGCGCCGAACACGTGAGAACGTGTGACATCACATGGGAGCAGGCTTGCCCACTGAGTTGAAAAAATGGACTTATGGTAGGTTGCTCACGCTATTGGCAGGAACGTCACTATATTTGCCCCTTACAAGTGTCCACCAGTTTCCACAAGTTCCCCGGAAGGGACAAGACTAGCTAGGAAAGCCACCTTCCCAAAAGGTTTGCGGCTTCAGGAGGCCAAATTCCCTTCAACTTGAGCACAGCGTTTTTTTTTGAGAAAAAACAAAAAACAAAACAAAAACACATGTGCATAAAACACTCCTACATAAGGTAAATGATGGTAATTTTGAAGCTGGCTTGTAGACCTCCCTCATTTCCATCAGTGTCTCCACGAGCTGCCATCAACCAACAGGAAGAGCTGAAAAGACAAGTAGTCAAAGAGACGAGTGATAAGGAAACCTGATCGCCGCAACCCAACATGGGGTTCTTTGGGCTCACAGCCATTAAAAAATGCGGTTGACCCTGGACATGAAACAACTCGTGCATCCCGCGGGTGGTTGAAACTTGGAGAGTCCCGCGAATTTCAATCAGACTGTGTGTTTTGACTTCTCAGGTTTGGTGTCATGGTCAAGACTCACGGCTCCCTCAGTAGGAATCCAGATCATGGTCTAAACCCTCTATGGGGTCCGTGAGCCATCACCAATGTCACTTTGTGACCATGGCACACCACGCATATGTGCTTCTTCCTGTTGATGTTGTAAAAAGGGTAGCCTCGATTTAAGGGCACAGGCGTTCTCGGGTTCCCACCTCTACCTACGGGTCCATAAAATCCAGCTCCAGGATAGGAATAGTCCACCACGCAGGAGCTCTGCAATCCGTACCTCGAAGTGTTGAAGCAAGGGTCAAATGGCGGGCGCGGGCCAAAGGGGGCTTTGGTTGTCCTTAAGCGAGAATGACGAGGACAAACACCCAGGTGTCAAAGGTCTGGATGCCTTGTGTCCTTTGACTTCCAGTACATAGCTCTTTGGTCAAACGCTGACATAGCGTGTTAGTTGAAGCAAGCAGCGACAGCCAGGCAAACCAACCCTGGATCGCGAGTATACGTGACAGGAAAGATAGAAAGAAACACATGGGATCCCTGGAAGAACAATTTTATCTTTCAGAGCTGTAGTCAATCTGTGTCACAGCCATTGGATGGGACAATTTGCGAGTCCTGTGCCTGTTTTTTTGTTTGAAGAGTGAGTGAGTCCAGTGTCCCCCCCCCAAAACAACCATAGATTGCCAGTACCGATGACCGAACTTCATGTGCTTGTCTATGCTCTGCACATCTTCGTTGTCTTGGGGAGAGATTGTTGCTACGCTTGGCAAATCCTTTGTGCTGCAAACAAACTTCAGCTCTCTGGTGACGTGACATGGCCAGCCGAGTTTTTACGTTCGTACAGTGGGCTTGTCCTGCTTGATTGAGATGGCTTGTTCAGCCTTCATGATAATGAACTGCATCTGCCCAGCCAGGCCAACGCTGGAAACAACCAGACTTGCAAGAAGCAAGTGTCCACATCGCTCATTGCTTCTAGCGCCTCAAAGATCTTGGCCTTGGCTGTGTCTTTCGAGAAATCTAAGTCATGGTCAAACTTTGGTGTTGCCATGTCGTACCTCTGAGCAGGAGAAAAAGATCGGAGGGTTCCGACCCAAATCTCCCTAAATGGATCAAGGACACTTTGACCACTGAGCATCCAGGCTTTCCATCTGCAGTGTTGAATTCCTCCCGCCGCATGTAGCACTGATACATGCCTCAGGCAGGATCCCTCCTGGGACCTCCCAAGCAACAAGATCAGCACGAGGCGAAATTGGGGTTTGCCTAAAATTGAGCGACCTAGTGGTTTCCCTAAGCCACCCGCCAAACAGGTAAACAGGGGAAAGACACGTCCCAACACCCTTGCCCTAAAGCCCACTCTTTGGCAAACAAACCCCGAAGCTTGGCCTTGGAAGGTTGCAGGCCATCTCCTTGCTGGACATGAACACTTCAGGGCCGACTTGCAAGGGAAGCCCTGGAAAGGTTATGACCCTGGGTCCTTAGTGGACCCTAAGGCTGCAATGGCTCCCCTATGGCTCTGAAATACACATAAGTTTCAGAGCAGTTCACTGAAATTCAGGCTCTTCACCTTCACCCGGCGCGCCATGAGGAAACAACACGCACTATTGGTCACCAGCTGAGTATGCCGGAAGACTAGCTGTAGACAGGTCTCCGAGACTCTGTGAATTGGTGTCTTAATATTCGTCTGGATGGCCCAGTACTAAGCTGACATCAAGCAGCCACATCCAAACTGCATCTTTCAGTGACAATATCCCTCAACTTGCTGATGTAAGCCACGGACACCATTCATCGTGTCCGCAACTGAAATTGGATTTTGTTCAGCAACGCATGCCATGCCGCGCTTAGGATGCTGACGGAATTCACTTACAGCAAGCTTCGAATGCGTCTGGTCCTTCCAAAGATCCCAGTTCTCAGACCCCGCATCGGTTCTTTGCAACACTTGACTACATGGACTTGGGCCCAACAAGTGGCCATGCCTGAAAACATGTAACAAGTGCCCCAACTAGCAGCTATGTTGCTTGATTCTGATCCATATTTCATAAACTCCGAAAAATCCGGGAGCCCTGAAAATCGATTCGGCCGAGGTGGGTGCGACGACTCAGGCAGTCGTTGCTCGTGCAGCCTTGCATACGCGCGCTGGAGGTTCGCTTCCGCCAAAAGGGCAACCACAAAGCATTTTCTGGTTCCTGGCTCTTCCATTCAAACTCTGGCACTATGGCTTGCCCTCTTTGCACTCATTGATCTCCTTTGTGTTTCGTCTTCCAATGGGAATTTCATGATTGGCACGACGGATCATCAGTTGATCCTTGGTCTCATTGTCCACTGCAAATTAGGCTAAGTTTAAACAAATAAAATACTCAACTCCGGAGCGCCCAACCGAATCTGCAAGAATCAGGGTGTGCTTTTTGACCTTCCTCATGGCTTTGTCTCTGGCCCCCAAAGGGAAGAGAAAAGGATCCCTCAGAAAGGACTTCTGCAGTATGGACATTTACTTGAGCCAAGTGCGCGATCAGCTGAGTTGAGGCTGTAGGGCGAATGCCAATGATATGGGAAAAATAACATCCCCTGAAAAAACAATTTCCCAATTTCTCTTCTGATGGGCCACCAGCAAACGTGTTTGGCTTTAACGCCACAATCAAGCACCTTGAAGGCTTAATGTCCCCGAGCCACGGCTTGGTGTACAAATGCATCATTTTGGAGCAGACCTCTGCGAAACCTGGTGACGGCCAAGCTCCAGGCTATCTGAGCGGTCGAAAACGCCGTTCACTTCTATCCGCTGCCGCCTTGGACGGTGCGATCTGCTTCGCGCGATGCGCGGGCGCCCTGTCTCTGGTGGGTGATCATACATGAGCCACGGTCGAAATGACCTCCCCCAAGATAAGAGGACATGGGAAAATTAGTAACTCTCCGGGCCTTGTCTCGGGAATTTAGTGACCTCCAGTGGAATCTGTGATGAGGGGCAGCTCCCCAGTTGCCGCAAACGAGTCCATGTTAGGCGTCCGGCGTGATGTCCGCCTGCAGCAGGCCGAAGGTGCCGTTGGCGGAGTAGCAAAGGCGGTAGTCCCCACCCATCCTGGCAACGGCTTGACATAATTATCTCCTAAAGATGCAACAAAAAGACAACAACAAAACACAAGTTGGTGTCATTGCACTCTGGATGAGTATAGAATCAATACACACGAAAATCATATATGTCTCCCCGCCCCGCCAAACCCCCCTCCCCCTACACCCCCAAATGGAGCTGTGCTCTCCAGAAGAACTTGAGCTGGCTCTCGTGATTCGTCTTGACCAAACTGGCTGCCCTGGGGTTTGCACATATTATCCCCAACCGCTGAAATTGAGGTCTCAGCCGGGCCCCGGAGTGGTCTCGCGCCAGGCGAAGGTTCGAAGGATTAAGATGTTTGCTTCGGGCTTGGTTGTTCATTCGGTTCGCAGGCTAGAATTCTCGCCATAGACAGCTGACACTTTTACTTGTATGACCTCTGGGAGTGCTGGAAATCTCCGGGGTGGTCCGGGGCAGCCCACAGGTAAGGTTCCACGAGGGTTCCACCAGGGTTCCACGAGGGTTCCACAAGGTTCTGCGAGGGCTGCGGGGTGGTGCGAACACTAAAAAGAGCATGGCATGCTGTTGGGGATATCCCCTGAGTTTTTGCTTTTTCTCCGTGGGAAGTGAGCGGCCCGACTTCAAGGGCTCACTCAACGAGTGAGTTGCCGCAGGAAGAGCATCCGCTGACACATGGAATGACGGTAACCTTCCAGAAGTTCCAGGTTCAATCAATCGTGGTCCACCAATTGGTACTCTATTTGTGGAATTGTTTGGCAATATATTGCTGTCAGCTGCCTTAGTGGGAGGACGGATTCCCGGCCCTTTCTACAACACCAGGCTGATGTGGGTGGCAAACTGGCTGAACCGATTTCATTCTCGTAATTCTGGGCATCGGCTAAAATCTTGGCTGGGTTTCGCAGCTGAATCCATCCAGCTTCCTCAAAAAAACAGGTTGAAAAGAATGGGAGATCTACCGGTAATATGATTGTTGACATGTGCCGGCCAATGATGGCGGCTCTCCAACAGGTGATTGTCTAAAACAAGCACCACGGGGAAATTTACTATCACTTCCAGTGTCCTACCAACACAAACAAAACCTGCCAACCTTAAGCTGCATGAAACCTAGCAATCGCATGTCAAGGATGATCATCTCCGCTTCAAGTCATCCTACCTCAAACAAAACCAACCCCAGTTCCTCCCACTGGGTTTATTCACACCCTCGCAATAATCCTCTGAAACGTATTAACAATTACATGCCTTGCGAAAACTGCTTGGACCCCTGGATATTGTTGGGGTCCGAATCCTAGTTTAGGACAGGGGTCCTCATGAGTACCCTCCCTGACCGAATTGGTTTTTGAGAACCATCCACTTCCCAGCCTAAAAACCAGCGTGTCGTCGGCTCGCAGGGTGTCTGGGCCTTGGTGCGATGGCCGCATTGAATCGGGCGGGCGCTTTCGGCATTGTATTGACGGGAAATCAATCGGGAAAGCAATCAGTTTGGGGCTCCCGATTTGGAACCCCAGCAAACATGATCCGTGCAAGAGTTTCCTCCGAAAGCTAGTAATTGCCGGGGGATTATCGAAACAACAAATACAAATCTCCCTGACAAGTGCACGTGACAAATCTCCTTGATTCCTGTACTGAGAATGATTTTATCGCAGCTTTCGTTTGCAAATGAGGCCCTTGCCTTCCCAAACACTCACAAACCCGCGAAAGTTCCAAAGGATCCGTCAAGGCCAGAAAAAGGCTGAAAACAATATCAAAAGAAGACAGCGTCAAAACAAGCAGGTACAACACAAAACTAGACAAGGTCCATGTGAAACACACAAGGCGCGGCCGCTCTGCAGGGATAGTCGATTCTATCATGTGGCTGTGGCTCAAAAAACGGTACCAAAATGGAACCCTGTAAGTGGAAACATTGACCAAAACCTGCGTCACCCCTCCTGTTTAATTTTGAGCCACACCCATGTCTCCAAGACCGCAAAGGGACCATGCAGCCTGCGATCCGCTGCGCTCCCGGGCCGTCCACGGTGGTCGCTGACCTGGGGCAAGCTGTGGGCTCCTTTCCAATTTGGCCCGGTGGGTGTGTGTGTGTGTGCGCGCGTGCTTTTTGTTTTTGCTCACTTCCTGAGTGGAATGGCTGAAGTTAAAACTTTCTGTTTGCCACTAAAACGGTCTTCTCAAAAGGTCTGAAGTCCCGGAACACAGGGAATGAGGTGTGCTTTTTCGAGTTGGCTTTCAGTTTGCACCCATACATGCTGTGCCCATTTGATTGTAGTTTTTGTTCGCCGTCCTTTCTTCATGCGTTGCCAGGAAAGATGCCGATGTGCGGTTGTTTCGATTGGAAGCGTGGTTCAAAGTAGGGTCTCATTTTTGGCTTCCTTTTGAACACGAACCCTAACTGGAGGATGTTCAATCTCTTGGGATCCCAAAGGCTGAAGAAAGAGCAACCGACATATGTGAAGCAACAAGGTGTGCTGCCGTTTCTTCTTACAGCAGGTGGGTCTTGGTCAAATAGGGCTCCCTCAAAATGGTTGGTTTCCTGTCGGTTTCTGTTTTAATACCAACCCAAAAGGGTCTTAAGACATTTTGAGAAAACACCAGGTAGCGCTTTGTACTAAAATGGTGACCAACCGTAGGGCAGAAACAAGATCAGCGCGGACGAGTCATCGCAAAGTCAATCCGAGATGTGTCCCTCGCGATGCTTTGATTCCAATTCGCTGAAAACTCCTTCGCGCTCGCCGTGCCAACAGGGAAGCGAAACTTGCCTTTGGAATAACTCTTTTTGTATCGTAGATTTGAGTCGTGGCAGGCTCAATCAAGCTCACTTTGCGTGACCAACGCAGCTCTTTATAGTGCTTTGCTCAGATTTCGCGGCAGGCACAGCACTTTAAAGCCTTTAGCGCAGATGGCATGGCAGGCGTAGCACTTTGGAGCCTGAGTGCAAATTTCGTGGCAGGGATGTCTTCAGGAGGAAGGTGCGCTTGTGTGTCTTCAGGGGAATGTCTTTGAAGACTGTCTCTGACTTTGCGGTAGTTGTTTGGGGATATCTCTGAACGGTTCTTTGGCGATGTCTTCGCGGTTGTCTGGGATGTTCTCTTTGGTCCGATGTCTTCGGGGATGTCCTCCGAGGGTGTCTTCGGGTTTGCCTTTGGAAGGCGTATTGGGGGCTTTGTTTCGGGACGTCTTTTCTGTTCTCTTGGGTGATGTGTTCGGGGATGTCTTCCAAGTGTATTTTGGACTGGAGGGATGTGCTTGGGGGATGTCCTTGGGGGGGCGTCTTTGAGGGTGTCTCTGCGGGGTGCCTTGTGGGGATGTCTTTGCGATCATTGGGCGATGTCTTTCTGCAATGTATTTGGGGATGTCTTCTGGGCATGTTTTCGGGGGATGGTTGGGGATGTCTTCGTGATGCACGCCCATGTTCCATCGAAGCACCGCTCCTGGTCTGTGCCAGGACTAAAAAGGGGGCAAAGTGACCCACAGACAAAACAAAAAGCACCAACCAGAAACAACACCACAAACAACACCACACGTCAGGTCAGCCTTGCCGAACGTTTGCTTCTCGCCTTAAAAGCGCATTTGAGCAAGTCGGATTGAAGATGCTCACCATGAAAAACAGTACAGGTATAGATCTTCGGATCCCGTATAGGAATCTGTGGATAAGAAGTAGAGGACAGCAAACCACGTGCCGAATATCTTCTTCTGAATTGTGCATACTCATCTAACACTGCCTTGAATTCGAGGGCGAAGTCAAGACGGGTCTTTGGGTCAGACCTACTGCCGGTTCAAAAGCGTGAGCACTGGTAAGAGAGTCGCTCTTTTACACTCAATGCAACTTTCTGGCCACACCTGTTGCCCAAGATGTTGTGCCAAGCATTTGATAGACAAGACATGCTTCCCCAACAGCTGAATGCTTTGGGGTCTCAGCCCAGATAGGCTCCGGGGTGGTCCGGGGCGGCCCTGAGGTAAGGTTCCACGAGGGTTCCACGAGGGTTCCACCAGGGTTCCACCAGGGTTCCACGAGGGTTCCACGAGGTCCTGCGAGGGCTGCGGGGTGGTGCGAGCACTGAAAAGAGCACCGCATGCTGTTGGGGATATCACCCGAGCTTATTTAAAGGTCCGCTGGGAAGGGTACGCTCGGAGTATCTGGGATCCGCCTTCATGTGATATCTTTGGGCATGTCTTCTGAGGGTGTCTCGCGGGGATGTCTTTGGGGTGTCTTTGCGATATTCCCAAGTTCCTAAAAGCACTGCGGAAGACATCCCCAGAAGATGTGTTCAAAGACAGATCTCCAAAGGCCTCGCCAACAGCTACCCTTCAGGACACAACGCAACGACAGCCTTCAAAGACAATCCAGCAGGGAAATCCCCAACCGACATTTTCCGAGACACCCCCAGGATATCTTCCGAGACATGACCCGAAGATTCCCACAATGCCAAACCTCAAACGAAGAGCCGCCAGCGACAACCCCATTGACCCACAAACACATCCTCAAAGTCATCCCCAAAGACATCACCCAAGACAACCGCAAACGTCTTTGGGGCTGACTTTGGGGTTATGTTGGGGCGCTTGCGGGGATCTCTTCGGATATGTTTTGGGCATGTCTTTGGGAATGCTTTGTTCGGGAGGGTATCTTGTGCTGAGGGCTGTTTTTTTTTTGCGGATTGCTTTTGGTTGGGGGGCCCCTCCACACACCCGTGTGTCTTTTGGTTCCCGAACCTGCTGGGGCGCCCTGCCCCAACGCCATGCCCCAAGACCAGTCCACCTCGGAGCCTTCGGCTACCTCGGGGCGGGCCGGCGATGGTTCAAAATGCATGTGGACAATCCATCCCTCTGCGTCATACCAAATATGGGTCCTCCCAAGGACTGAAAATCACTTTGAATGGGATTCCTAAAGCCCCGTTTTCCACTACCATGGTTAAATGGGGTTCGTCTCTCCATCTGGAACCGGCTGTATTGGATGGCTTCAAAGGGGCTTCCCCCTTTTTGATGACTTTGCAGGGAAACAGCATGAAAGCAATCAGCTATAGGGGGGATTACCCATTGTTCATTTGCTCATTTGAGTAGCACCGTTCCTTGAATCAAAACATCTTAGATCGCAAAGCTGTCCGGACGGTCCCCTAGAAGGCCTGCAGGAATCTGCAAAGGGATCCACAAGAAAGCAGCTTCATCGGCTTTCGCTTCCCCCGGATAAGTGAGCTGAGCTCACTTTCAGTAGGCAAAGGAATGCACCAGGCCACGACGCTGGCTCACGTGTGTATGCCAAAGGGGTAATGTTCAAAAACACAAAAGGGGCCATACCCAGTGCTAGGAGGAGTGACATACCTACCACTAGGTGAAGTAACATCTATTTGGCACCAACCTAGAGCACACATCCTCATTTCAAGATCTCATCATCATGAGTTTTGGTCGCAATCCAAACCGCTTGGTGAGGTCACTGTACTTTACTGCAAAACAAGTTGAGGTGATCTAACGACATGTCTTGAGGGTCGGAGCACCGCTGAGGAATGTGGGTATCACGCCAACTGACAACAGGGGACCCAAGAAAGGAACCTTCACTGCTAGGTGACACGGCAACAGCGACGACATGTTTTAATGGACACCATGTTGCATGGGGAGTCACGTTCTCCAAGCAGTGTTGAGGGTATTCCGATATTCCGACCCATGCATCAGCAGCGACCAAAACGGATCGACTGTTGGTCCTACTTGGATGATTCAACTGGCTTGTATGAGTTCTTACCATCACCCTTGTTAGACCAGGTACTAGCATCACCTGCTGAAATCATAGGGAAGCCCGCGGCATCCGCAATCCCGCTAGGCTGGGGCGTCCGACCAGGGGCTGTCCAGCTTCGCATTGGCCGTTTCTTGCCTGGAGGGTTGCGCGGAAGGATCCAAGCCCCAAGGGAAACCATCATGTGGAACCCCTCTCTCATGGAAAAACCCTTCGTCAAGCTTGCTGAAAGGGTTTGGATCCAGCTACCCCGGTAGATAACCAAGGAAAGCCCTCATGCAAAACCTAGAGATTAAGGATCCTTACCTATGGTGGTGACTATCTCCTGTGCTTTCGTTGTGGTTACCTCGATTTGAAACCGGCGCCATTCGACTAAGCAGACCTCAAAGGGACAACGATGTTGTCTTTGGGTGAACCCATGTTGTTTTTGAGGAACAGCGAGCGGATTTGGAGGCGCCCGAGATTTGACATTCCCCTTCGGCAGCACTGCGCCGAAAGAATGGCTGGGGGAATCATTATGAGCACAAATAGCTGTCCTCCCTCCAATATTAAAATGTTCAGCTTCCAAAAGTCTCAGACGAGCATCCCCGGCCTACGATTCTGTTTAAGATGTGGATCATACTTAGACTTTACCGCCAATTTACTTCAGCACTGTCTTTCCAATTGCCGGTCTTATCAGGCATGCGCCCATCCCAAAAACCGTTTGTCAACCCTGTCAACACGAACTAACCTTTGAAGTCGGGAGGAGGGTTGCTGTTGGTTCTCAAAGCAGGATATTGGTCAGCTGACCAACAAAGTTCCTGAAACAACAGCTTCATTCTGAACATGCTGTGGGCTGACTCATTCGGTTGTCCTGTCTTGAACATACCCTCTTTTTGCATGTGTTAAAGGACGCACAAAGGAGAAACCACCATTTTTGGTGTTCTTCTTTTTGTTTGGACACCGCTCCCATGTAGTTCTGTCTGATTGCCAACATAATTACTGACCCTGAGGGATACATCCACGATGCTCGGGGGAAACACCCGAAGGTCACTCCCGAAATGGGAACCAACGAGAGGTTTCGAGCCTGGGGCTCTGTCAAGGTGTTGTCCACCACCTGGCTTTGCGACGGATGGAAAGCACGGGCCTTCGAGGCTTGGCGAAGCGAGTTACCCAAGCAAGCTCACTTCGTGGATTTGTCTCAGAAGGGGGGGAACGGGCTACATGGACCCTGCTCTCCTGCCCCCCCCCCCCCGCCACCCACGCGTGGTGGCGTCAAAATAATTCCCCAACAGCTGAAAGCTTTGGGGTCTCAGCCCAGATAGGCTCCGGGGTGGTCCGGGGCGGCCCTGAGGTAAGGTTCCACAAGGGTTCCATTAGGGCTCCAGGAGGTTCTGCGAGGGCTGCGGGGTGGTGCGAACACTAAAAACAGCAAAGCATGCTGTTGGGGACATCATCTGAGCTTACTTTTTGCCAATGCCACGGGGGGTGACCAACTGCAGGCAACAACATACACCACCAAAAACAATAGGGAAGGACAAAACTGATACTCATCAGCCTGCAACACCGATAATATTGCATAACCGATGCCCCAGCAATATTGAGCGTTGCTCATATCACAATGTCTCAACCAGGCTCACAATCACAAGCGCCACATTTTTTGTGTCCTGCCGATGCTGAACCCAATGGGCTCTATTCGATGCGAAGAATTTGCGAAGATTGCCCTCGTTTATGGCTTCAGACCTGGCGGCACAATACAAAGCTGTCCGCCCACCATTATCGAGCTTGTCCTTGTCGGCACCTGCTTCCAGCAAGCAGTCCACAACTTTCTGAAACCCAGCCCTGGCTGCACAGTGCATAGGTGTCCATCCTGCGTCGGTTTGCTTGTCTTTGGCGGCACCTGCTTCCAGCAAACAGCTCACAACTCCGCGATGGCCGAACCTGGCAGCAGAATGCAAAGGCGTCCATCCGGCGCTGTCAGGCTTGTCCTTGTCCGCGCCTGCTTCCAGCAAGCAGCGTACAACTTCGGGCTGGCCAAACTTGGCAGCCCAATGCATAGGAGTCACTCCGTAGTTGTCGGGTGTGTCTTTGTCAGCACCTGCCTCCAACAAGCAGTGCACAACGCTTCGAAAGCCAGACATGGCAGCACGATGCAAAGGAGTCAATCCATCATCATCGGGTCTGTTCTTGTCAACACCGGCTTCCAGCAAGCAGTGCACAACTCCGCGATGGCCACTCCCCGCAGCATCAGCCAAAGCCATCCTGTCTCCAAGGCAGGCCTCTGGGTCTAGGGGTCGTTCCAAAAGCTCCACGATTTGTGCAGTCTCTCCCTTGCCCGCTGCCCTCAGCAGCTCATCCGTGCTCTCGTTGGGCACATATGGCCGAACCACCACCACCAGCTCTGCATCGACCCAACGGCTCTCCGGTACAAGCATCTGATCGCCGCACACCAGAGCCAACCGTCTGAAATTCGTCACCAGCAGCCTTTTGGCCAAATGACGCCTCAGCATCTGGAAGTCGCATTGGTCTTGCCAGCCAGCAAACTCCTCTTCCGACATCACCTGATCCCCATTAACCTTGCGAACACGACCCATGGTGTGCAGGGCTGTTCAACCAATGAGTCAACATCTGCATGCTTGTTGATGCAACATCTGTGTGCCTGTTGATGATGCTTCACCTTAGAGGGATGAAAACGCGATTCGACGGGCTTTGCTCCTGCATTGACAAAGTCAACAGGTGTCAACCCCGTGTCAGCTCCACTGAATCAAAAGGGATGCCTCTTGGAAACTGCTCAAATCTTCAGAGTAGCCACTTCCCTTTGCACTAAGTGAGTCTTTCTTGAGCCGAACATCGTGCCCTTTGAGAAGATCCGCCGATTTCTACAAATCGCCATTCGGATCCAACAACCATCTGTCAAATTACAATTCCCAAACCGGAAGTGAGGAACACCCCAGTACAGGACCTTCATCATTGCGCTCGTTTTTTAGGTGAGGCTATACCATTGTCCACCATTTGCATACCTTCGGACTTCCATTTGGGAATGGCAAGTGTCCATCGGAAGCAAGCGACCCATAACGCATCCTACTGCCTTGAAAGTGACTTCGGGTGTGTGTGAGCTGGAAACGAGTGAAGCTGAAAAATGTACCGTGGTCCATGCGCATGGTTTCCTTCATAGTTGCGGTTGACGCACGAAACCTTAGTTGCGGTTGACGCACGAAACCTTGTGCCTGTCTTTGTGGTTTCAAAGGGACATCACAAGGACAACTACTGTTGTGGGGATTTGGGGGCACCCTATTTTGAGACCTGAGTTGTTCAGCATGTTCTGCATCCAGCGTGTGTCGTGGACGCATTCGGAAAATGAATCCAAGCTCAGTGGGTGCCAGGTACGCTGCGGACGCAATACAGCAACTCCTAAATGAGGTTGTTTCAAAATAGGGGTACCCCAAAATAGGTGCTTTGTCTTTTGAACCAACCTCCAAAAGGGTCCCTCAAAAATTCAACCCCAAAACTCTGATCCCTACAAGTAACCTGGTTGCCTGAAAATGAGATGGACAAAGGATGTTTTGCCATACGATCTGCCTCTTTGGCACGCAAAAACCCTTCGGCCGTAAAGTTCGAACAACTAGACAGGACGGCACCCTTTTAGTCTATCTTCATGCCAGGAAAACATGGCAAACCAAGAAACGAGACGAAGAGAACACATTGGGAAAACCAAACGTGAGATAAATCATAGCGCTATAAGTTCTAGCGCTGTGATTTATCTCACCCTGAAACTTGAGCTCGAGTGGCTTATGAAACATCCTTTCCACTTGCCACGTACCCCGCCGGCAATAGACCGCAGCCCAAATGGGCATGCGTCCCACCCCAAAACGTGTTTAGCGCGGGTTCCCTTACTCCAAAGGCCCTCAAAAACCACATGCATGGCTCGGAACACACATCGGTCTCATCCGACCTCTTTTGCGCCTGGCTGGCAAAGGCCATTGGAATCCGACGTGCCTTCCATTGCCTTTCCCGTAGCCCGGATTTGCCAGACGGGCGGTCCAAATTCCGGTCCATACCCCGCCCCAATTTGGGTGTGTGTAGCCCGGATTTCCCTCCATTGATAGTGAACTAGGAAACCAAGGCTTTCCTCATTGCCATCTTGCTTTCAATTCGTTATAAGGCGGCTTCTCATTTACCATCTACAAGAATCAAGGCTCAAACCTCCAAACCACCAGTACAAATCACCAGCTGAGGGTAACCGGATTTCTGTATAAGATCTCCCAGCCTCCGCAGGCACAGTTCAAGGATCTGCCACCATCTCCATGAATCATTCTACCATGCTGCATCATCCAACAAGCACGTTACAGTCACACAATATGGGCACGAGTTTTTAAGCGCCTCTTTTTTGAAACATCCCTTAGCCTGATGCTTTGTTAGGGCGATGTTTGAAGGAGACAATGTCATTAACTCTGCCTAAAGATGCGGAAACTCCGTGGGAGTGAGGCTCCAAAAGCGCACAGGGCATGATGCTGGGACCTGTAGGGAAGGAACCGGCTCAAAAACGACTGGACACCCTCTCAAGTCCCGTGGTTCGCTTTTAGAGCCTCACCATCCTCAGCCAGGGTTCATTATGCTTGCTCCTTAAACATCACCCTACCAAAGCAAACTTACCCACACCTGGCCCAGGTGATGTTTAAACCATTTAGGATACACCTTCCAAGTGTGGTTTCAAAAGTACGGCATAAGAAAAACCCAATATATTGCACACTTGTTGGGTTCCAACAACAGGAACACCTTCCCACGTTCAAACTTCCAGCTGCGCGATTCGCCGATTCGAACTTCGGACGTACCTTGAGCCTCGCGGCATGGTGCACTTGGTCGCTGAATTGGAAGGTGCCTCGCCGGCACGGCAATTGGAAGGTAGATCTCTGATGTCGCCACTGCGAACCAATCCAAGGGCACCCTCAAAACAACAAACGCCCCAGAGTCCCAAAAACCCGGCCATCCAGGCGGGTTTCAAGACAAGCCAAAGGGAAAGCCACCAATCGAAGGGTTTGACACATAACTTGGTGGACGTTCAACCCTAAGCCAGGATTGAAAGGGTTCTTTGAGGCAATGTATGATGGTCCCAAACATTGACCCAGGCTGAAGTCAGTCGTGTATCAGGGCACTCGTCGTTTGATTGACGAAGCCCTCCAGACCTTTCAACATCAGGTGCTCACGCAGAGCCTAAGATGGAATCCAACCTGCAAGTACGACTGGAACGCTGCATCAAGGACATTCCAAGGTCCAGAGTTGATTCTTGCTCCGTGCATCTGATCAGGAGCGGTGGGTGGCCTCGACCACAAACGAGACTTTATGAATCTAAGACACCTTTGAGGTCTTTGATTCTCCTATTCATGCAGGGAGTTGCTGTAGACGATCACCACTCTGATATGTTCTGGTAGCTGACCTGGGTGGCAACAGCTCGTCTCAACAACTGCTAGAACCCCAGCAGCGTGTACTGCTACGAGCATCAGTATTGGCTACGAGCGTCAGAATCCACCGCCCAACCACTATCTCCTTGGAGAAATGGGTATACAACCACTTATATAATCATCAATATATACACAACTGGTGCATATCCAGCGTTCCCTTTGGGGCTGTGAGCTTTGGCAGCTATGCTGGAACTTGATTACCAACGCCGCTGCTGCGACTATCACGCGCTGCATTTCACTCCGGAAAAAAAAAAAAAAAAAAAAAAAAACGTGTTGCATCGACTCGCTTTACATTGGGGACGCTTGACTTCGGCACACGTGGTGACATTGTCCCGTGGCGCGGGGGAGCCCTTGTGATGTGTGTGTTTGCGCGGTACTATCCAGTGTTCCCTTTCAAGCGGTGAGGCAAATCCAAGTACCGCAGCCTGCTGAATTCGCGATTTGTAAACCTGGTTGAACCCCACACTGTTTTTGTGTTTGTTTGTTTTTCCATGTTTTGTGGGGGGGAAGAGGGCGGGGCAGCGTTCTCTACCACCACTAGTTTGCTATCAACATAGTATCCACCATGGCTAAGGAGTCGGTCACAAAGCGGCCCCGATTTGGTTGTTCCTTAAAGGGATTGACCTCCTTAGGTGTCCAGCATTTCAGGGAACTGCAAACTATCGCACAAAACAGATCAACTCTCAGGATCTCAAGCAATGGACGGCATCCGCTCATTGATTCACAAAGGTCTTCAATTAACACTTGGGATCGTCCTGAAGTCCGAGATTCCTCCAAGGACGGTTCATCACTCACGGCCAGCAGGTCAGGGCAGGTTCCCCTAGTATCTCTTACCCTTTTGATGTTCAAGTTGGTTTCCTTGCGATATGGCCAACATCTCCCGTCCATGGTCTCGCGCTGGCAAAAAGCATCTGGGTCTCAGCTCAAGTGTAGTTTTGCCGCACAACGTGCGCTCTCTCATGAGGCGGTAAGCGCCTCCTCAGGCTACCAGAATCATCCTTCGGCCCAAAGCAAGCAGAATTGCGGACATGTCTGGGTTTGCCTCTACACGTGGCACACTAAAACGGGTGGTATCCGTTTCGCTTCCCTTCAAGACAACCCAAAAAGGGTACCATCAAAAAAGACACACCCATCCATCTAAAACAAACCAATGAAGAGCCCTTAGCGAGCGCTGCGTGCTTCTCAGATCAAGTGTAGTTGAGGCGCAGCTAGTGCACCATACCCTCCCGTCACAAAGGAAAGGTTTCCAGTCCGGCTGATTGGATCATCACGCGGCGCGTCTTACACTTTGCAAGCAAATCGTGGGCAACTCAATCATCATGGGTGTGATTCTTTCGGGATAACTACCCCGTCTTATATAACCGGAAAACAAAAGGAAACCATTCTGACGCACACGGGTACCGTGACCATCAACATCAAGCCAACGCAGCCTGGTCCGCTCTCAGATCCAGTGTCACGAAAAGCAAAGCACCATGCCATCAGTCGGCCTGTCGCAAACACCCATCGCAAGGATGTCTCACAGTTCACAAGCCAAGCTCCCACACTCGGACCCAATCATGACATCCCACACTCGGACCCAATCATGACATCGCTTATCTCTGATGCTCACCTCAACCTCCGACATACAATGATCGGACCACCTCCCACAAGCTATCCAAACGGGGCAGGTAGGCATCCTGGATGCCCACCCGTTCTGCAAAGCTCGAGGCAGGTGCAAGGCGATCATCCATCTCAACATATGCTTAGACCAGTAAAGCCGGAGGATCTCGAACACTTCCGCAATGTTCAAGACAAAGAACTGCAGTTTGGAGTATGCTCTTTCTCCCTTCTCTCTCGCTCTCCCTCTCTCTCTGTCTCTCCCGTTTTCACTTTCTCTTTCTCTTGGTCTTTCTCCCTTCCTCTTCTCGTTCTCTTTTCTCCCTCTCTGCCCGTTTCTCTTTCTCTTCCTCTTTATCCTTCTCTTTCTCTGTCTGTCTCTCTCTCTCTCTCTCTTTGCCTCTTACTCTTCCTTCTATCTGTATTAGTAAGTTTGCATTATCTTCATCGTTATTTGCCTCCTGATTTGATCATTCTATATTTCTAACTATCGTTCTCGTCATTATCCTCTTTCTCTTTCTCCGCTCCGAAGACCGCTCCGGACCCGCTCCAAGATCACCGTCGCGACACAGTTGCTCACTTGATCGATTTGTTTGTTTAGCGTGCAGCCGTGTTCATCCGAGAAGAACGTACTACTACGCAAGTTCCTTCCAAACTTCGTTCGATAAGGGCATGCCCTTTTCAATGGTGTGGCTACTCAATGAAAACGAATGTTAGCATCCCTTTGTCCAGGGCAACTTTTCCAGGTGCAAGTGCTCACATCCTCCCAAGTGCAACCATGTCAGCGTCCAAGTTGAGCGTCACGTTTCCCAGGCGGGGTCTTTGCGCAGGACAACATGTTGTCCTCCAAGTCGGGACCCCATTTGGGCAAAGCCCTAAGCAAGCCACCAGCAGTATAAGAGTTCATCTTAAAAAAGTAGCGAGGGACAAACTGCCATCGGAAGCGGGGCCTTAGCTCATGTCACATCATGTGGAAATGGGTGTGGCTCTGTGTCAAAATAGAGGGTGCTTGTTGTTTGGTTAAAGCCACGAAGAAAAGGGGGCCCTCCAAAACACAAACACACACACACAGACACACACACACACACCCTCCTTTTCTGAGTGTGCCCTTCCTGTTGTTTATTGTTTCAAAAGCAGCGAAGACCTTGCCAATGGAGCCTTGCCACAACCTCTCGCTCCGTGCCTCTCGGGAATGCCCACTATGTGCCGATTTCAATTCACAAACTGCCCTCACTTGCCTGTGAGGCAACAAATAAACATGACTAAGAAATTAAGGAAGTGCCTGGCAGTTGTTTCGCCCCCCTCGAAACCACATGCTTTCGCAAAGCCTCCTGGGATCTTGATTTCCAGGGTGGTGTAATTCGCGCCCGCGTGGGCCTGAGCCAGCGCTGGTCTGCGACCGATTGGGCTGGGTGCAGAAAAACGGGAGTTTTATATGGGCTCCGATGGATCTCCCCGGAACGCGGATCGGGGATCACCTTTTCTTTGTGGAACCCGTGGCTAATGCCGACCATTCAACTTGCCAGCATGAATAATGTAGATTGGAAATGGAACGGCGCGCACAATCAAAGTTGACATGTTGTTTTTACTGTGTAGAACATTGTGAACAAACGATGGACACCTAGAAGGTTGAAAAGGCTTTGGCCTTGGAGTCTCCTATCACTCAAGGTCCCCAAGCAAGAAGTTCGGAAAGCCAGTTCGCAACAGAAAAAAACATCACTTCGCAGTGACTTTGACTAAGCGCAATGATTCAACTAACTGGGCCAGACTTAGACCCTCTGCAGAAAGTTGCGTTGCTGCCTGAAAGGTAAGTAAAGGAAACCGAAAGGCGAAAAGTGCAAATTGCAAGCTAACTTGCCACGCCCTTGACAAATACGCCAACACCATCCGAACTAACAAGGTCTAGTCTGGAAAATGCTTCCGATGCGGTTTGACAGTGAGTGTCATCCCAAGGTGCAATACAAGAACCCTTGGAGATACTGTTGTCTTCGAGAATGAATGATATATATATATATATTATATATATATATATGTGTCCGCCTGCTAGCAAACATTAAACGCATTTCGCTCAGGGAACATGATTTCGTTGCAAAAGTGCGCGCAAGTGAAGAACGTCGGACGGCAAAAGTAGCCCTTCAGTCGGCCCGATTTCCCTGAGAAGGCAGCGCCTTCGGTCGCTTGGCTTCCGAGCGCCCTCTATGGCTGTACAGAAACTACTGCAGGTCCAGGAGGTAGCCGTGGCTGCGTTTGGAAAACACGCCGGGCTTGCCCCTCCGAAACCCTTGCTGGGTTCATCCAAGTATTCATAGGGTTTCATAAGAATCCCAACTTGTGCCTGGCCCGGATTTTGCCCATCCACACATACATATTCCGGATTAGGAAGCAAGATTCCCAGAAAGGGATTTTCACCTTGTGCATTTCCAGGTTCCCTCGTGAAGTTGGAGCCATGCCCTTATCTCAAGGCCAGATTCCCACCAAAGCATCCTGAGAAATGCAACAAGCTGACCCAAATAGCCAGAGGTTTGCACGCAGCGACAAGCCATAGAAAACATCTATTGACCTCGTTTTTGTTGGGATGGACAAATACTTGGGGCTGGGAAGTTGGCAAATCGCCAAGAAACAAATCCTGTGGCTTGCACCCAGTCAAAAATTGCGTTGAGCTGTAAGCAAATCACTTCCGCATGTTACCCCAAGTCTCCAAACAATCTTCCCAAAATAGTTCTTCCTCTAAAGCGTCTGAGACACCTTTGAGTGAACCATGTTGTCAAGTCCAGGACGTACACGGGGCACAGCTCTGTCTGGTGGACCCTAGAAAAGCCACGGGTTCTCCTCCTGTGTGAATCTTGGTTGGTGTGGGACCCATGCGCAAGATTGACCTCCGTCCAAGGACCAACTCCCTAATGTAGCATGGTCAATCCTCCCGTGGATCGGTTCACTTAGCAGGAACTCTTAGAGGGGCTGACCAAAATCTGTAGGGTTCCTGTTTAATCTGTAAAAAAGAAGGCCAAATACCATGATTCACCATCCTAACCAACACACAACAAACAGGTCTTTTGCCCATGGCCCAAATGAGAACGGAATATTTGAAGCCAAGCTCCTAGCGCCCGGGCCAATGACACGCCGCCAAAATCCTCATGTCAAACTCTGATATCTCTTCTGAAGCCTTCGTTTTACACTGACGCCTTCGCTTTTGAGGGTTTTTCGGTCATATGAGGATCCTTCGTGTTACAAAGATACCTTCATTGTTGATGTGTTTACCTTATTATATTCCACTCCAACATCCCGAACCTTTTCAGTTGTAGCTCAAGTCCTTTGGAGCCTCAACATGCCATTTTCAGGGGGAAGTTCAACATGCGTAGGACATCGCCAAGGGGCAACACGGCAAAACCCACGGAGTTCGCATCTGGGATTGAGATTAGGCTTAGTTGCACCCATTGGTGGACATCGCTACCATGGGTATGCTATGTCCACCAGCCATTCGGAATAGTCGTTTCCGTCAGTCGTTCCAAGGTTGCCCCATCCCATATGATCCCCCATCTTCATTTTGAGGGGGGGGGGTGGGGGGGGGAGGACCAAAGTAAACATGAAACTATAAACGCAAAAAAATGGAACATATTTGTCGAGGCGTGAGCCCCTTCTCCCCCCTCCCCCCATGCCATATGCAGGCGGGGCATAGCAAAACCCCGCCGCATCGCACCTCCCTCCACCATGTAGAGCACATGATTGTCAGGAAGCGGCATGTCCTGTTGCTGATGCACAGCCACAAATACATTTTCTCAAGCCTAATGAAGCGCAAATTCCTCGCCAGAGCCCCTCGTGTTGCTCCCATTGCACAAAGGCTGTCTGAATGCAGGGTCATGCATCACTTGCACTCAGAGCTTCATGAACGACTGATGAGCGACTCGTGGATCTGAACTCACTCAAATTCCTCCTTCCAGGTGCGACAGTGTAATGCAAACCGTCGAATCCGCAAAGCACTTCCTGTCTCAATGGCCTCGCCAAGGGTGTCATGGCAACGTAGCCATCTCCGGTCCTCCAGAGTGGTAATGTACTGGAGTCGACCTCAGCATGCGGATGATGCGCAAAGCAAAAACAGACAGACCAAGTAGACAACTAGCTATATAGACCTTACTATTAAGCCCCAGGTAGTAGAACTCGCTTCGAACATGCCCTAACGTGGTGGCTACTCAACTGAATCGCATGTGATTGTTCAAGACCCAAGACTGCACGCAAGACAATCAACACCTCACCTGGCTGTAAAGGGGTTTACCCAGCCCACCTGTTCATGGTTGGCATGGTGCCATCCCTTTGCAGGCTTGATTGTGGCCTCCACTAAGAGGCTAAATGAAGTGCAAGCAACAAGCCAGTTCAAAACAAGCTAGATATTCGGCGAACACGAGGTAAACATGCCTTTTGAAGTTGCCTGGTTGTACGGCTCTGTAGGCTTGATATTGTCTTAATCTTGCGACTGTGGGTATGTTGCCAAAATTATTGCGACTGCGGTTGCAATTGTTGCAGTTCAAGGCGCACGGTGCTTCCCTCACAGGAACCAGCAGAACGCTACCAGAACTTCAAGCAGCCCACCACGTGCGCATGGGCTTCCTCCATGAAGTTGGGGGTAAGAAACAGAAATTCTGCGGCGAGCTTCCATGCGATTAAGCCCTTTTCGCTGACGACCAAAAGGCTTCAGGATTTGTTTGGTTTACTGGCGTTCCCAGCACGAAAGCTCCAGCTGGCCAATTAAAACACACAGAGACTCACTTCCCAAGGCCTTCAACGGGGGATGAAGGCCTGATACAGATTCTAATGGGCTCTTGGGATGCTATACACACGATTGTCATGTCGTGCAAGCTGAATCGTTTGTTGGAGCCCATTCAGGGTCCCGGACAAAAATAGATCTCCAAGTTGCCCAATGACCCTCATGCAAAAGGAACCATTCTTAGGTTGACCTTTTTAGTGGGAACCCACCAAATTGAAAAGGCAATTAGAGGGTGGCTCTGATCCTTTTTCAAGGGTCACACGGAAGTGTCAGATCTCATGACATGGTAGTTTCAATTGCTAGAAAGCAAATGGGCGAGTGTTGGCCGAAAGCAAACCCCATGAAGTACCCTCACATCAACAACACAACCTGCCTCATGACTGTTCCATTCCAGCTCTCACACGCAAACCAATAACAACACCACAGCATCACAGCAAGACAGAGCACAAACAAACAACCACACACAGGTGCTTTGCCTTCAAGTCGCGGCTGTCGAGCGCTCTCAGCTCGGCCAACTCCTCGATTGCTATATCCAGGCCTGAGAAACTGCGAAAGCTGGCACTCTGTGACTCCCGTGGACCCAAACAAGGATAAATGGCCATGGGTCAAAATCCCGCACGCAAAGCGAACATCCCCACTAAAATAGACTAAAATGGGTGGTGCACCTACCCCCAAATGGTACCATTGGTTTTGACCCACAGCCAAATCAAATTACAGGTATGCGTAACTTGAAGCATGCATGACTGACATCTTGTATACTTATGTACCTGGATCTTCCAAATCATAGACATTTAGCGTAAAAACGGAGACTACCACATGTTTAAGGGTCTCAAAGGGAAACACGGAGGTCTCAAAATCCATTTTTTTTTGTGATAAACAACTCCTGGACATGAATTGTCACTTCTGGAAATTGATTTGAACAGTGTTAAGCCGATAGAATCTCAATTATTTGGTACTTGACAAAAGGAGCCCTCCAATTGAGGAACTTTCAGACTAATAACTGTTCATAATATGTATCATAATTAAAATCAGAATGAAACTCAGAATTCCGAATCATTCAGAAACTGCGCCTTTGGGCGACAAATCGGCAACATCGGCAAACACCACACACACGAAACTCAGCGCAAACAAAAACGCAAATAAATAGTTGTTCAAAAAAAAAACAGAGTTTCGGAAGCGTGCATGTTCAGTGAAACCAGTAAAATAGCAACTCAAGTGCACAAGAGTTGCAGAATTGATGGGATAGTGCACAGAGTTGCATAATTGCACGCCAAGACAACGAAGAAAACAAGAAGAGTTGCTCCCAATTGTTTCCCCCAAGAACCTCTCCTAATTTTCGTGCTCACTCCCTTTTGGAAAGCCACTCCTGCTGTTTTATTTATGCTCTAGAAACACCTGAAACTCCTCTTGGAAAAACAAACAGGAGAACTGACAAAACAGAGAACTAACCCGAAGACGGAGGACCCAGGTACATATATATATATATACATACTATACTATGAGCAACATATGTTAGTGCTGTTACTGTTTATCGCGGTAGCGGTTATATAGCCAATTTACTTCCATACAATCCAAGTACTGAATCAAAGGCTGGACTTTCAGTCCAAAGACCTGGCAAGCTCAGCCGTGCCTGGTGCATCGGTCCATGGAGCATCGCGCTCCTGAGGTCGAAACCGGTTCGTTTCCAGTGGCGCACGCCGATCGCAAGGTTCTCAGGATTCTCTTGACTCATAATTGTTCCTTCAAAAACCACCCGTTTTCTCAGTGTGGCCGATTTTGCTGAATAGAATCACTGAAGAGAATGGGGAAGGTATCAATAGTTGTGTGCAAAACCTTACCAGGGAATTCTGGAAGACCAGTTGCTCCCTCCAAAGGCCTCAGGTTCCATGTTTGTTTTCCAGGGGCTGAGTGGGGCACACCAAATCGCGCGCGGATCATGGATCTTCTTGCTGTCAGCCACACTTCCTGGGGACTGTCTGACTAAGCGGACAAAAGCGCAGAAGAACTCAGCAAACTCGCACGCATGGTCAAACAAAGTGTCAGTGAGTCAGAGCCATGAGTCGCATGAGAGGAACATCTATGATGCTTGCACGCTGCATAGTCCAATTCTGGGGTCCACATATATCAGTTGAGTTTCCGTACTACGTATTCAACAAGCGTCAATTCACATCCTGCTTCCCATCCAAAGCGTCATAATCTGAAAGCATGATAGCCGCTCATTCTTTGAACCCTCCATACCGCTTGCAAATCTTAGTGTCCTGGAACCCACCGTTGGCAGTGCCTGCGCCAGAGGATCGGTCGGTTGGGTCGACCGAGGATTGTGGGAACGGCCGATTTCTTGATACCACTGGTGCCCTGGTATCACAGAAGTCGGGATCTGAGCAATGAAAAATAACCATCCACTTCGTGTTTTCTCTTAAAAACACACTTTGAAACGTGTGAGTCCGGAGCAACTTGACAAATGCCATCCACAGTTGGCTTCAATTGGTAAAGATAGCAAATAGCACCTTGGGTGGCTTATTTGTTGAAGTTCAGAACAATCAAATGCAATTCAGGGAGAGTGTTTTGCGAGGAAACCATTTCAATTGGCGGTCTTGAAGGGAAACCAAAAAGACAAGTCGTTCCATACGTTCCCAAGCAAAACTATTGCTCTCTCGTCCATCTGCTTCACAATGGCATAAAACCATCAACCAGTCATGACCATGTTCAAACACCAATAAGCGAGCACCTGGATCAAATAAAAGTTCGGATACTGAACGGGTGTTTGAGACTGGAACATTTCGGACCCTGCCTTGTTTGGCAGGCTGTTTGAAGGGAAACAAAGGCCATCCCGCCACAAAAGGGGGGGGGGACAACTCATGAAACAGCCAAATAGCCCCAACAAACACGGCACTGAGCGTGTTTCTTTCCGGAGGAAGTACGGTGTGCCAGGGGTGTGCCCCCAAAAACCATCTAACCTTCCTCTTGTTTGGCTGTGGACGTCAGCTACCCCGCTCCACGTTTCCACCTAAGGAGAGCCAGTTCGCACCAACCCGAGCCACGGCAACTCGGTAAGGTTACCGCGCCTAAGGCTAAGCGAAGCAGCACCAAGGAACTCAGCCGCCTGGAAAATGAACGGGCTTCCAAGCGGGTCACTGCAAACCCCTACCCGCAAATCAAATTGAGTATATACCCTTAGCGTTTGTATATGGAGGTATACTCATTTTCCCTTCGGGGTGATGGCTTGGGGCTAGTGAAAACCCTTCAAGAGATTCACAAAGAGTCAGAGCTAAGGGAGGGAAGGATGCTTTTGGCGTCTCCGAAAAGCAGGTACAAGGCTAACGATATGTTCATTAAGCAGGGACAAGGTTGGTCCGTCTTAGGGTGTTGCCGCATACCTTTTTCCCCAAAAGGGGGATATGAAATGGGTTAGTGACCATCCATTCTTAGAGTCTTGTGCGAAGGTGTCAAAGCTGGGAGTCCAAGTGAGGTCTGCCATACTTGAACTAGCATGGACAATTTCAAACATACGGGTGGGTTGCATCGTTTTGACACATCCCCCCATGGGTCAGAATGGGCCTCCAGCCAATGATTGTCTACGTAGACTAGAGGGTGACGGCTGCATGGTTCATGTGGGAAAGCAACACCCTCATCTAAATCATTCATGGTAACTGCAAACCAATAGGCAAACAGGTTTGTTGGCATTGTTTGCTAAGTGTCCAATGCGGGCGGGGGGGGTGGGGTTGTGGTGTGCAGGGATTGGGCGGAAGCTCCCGAATACAGTGTGATGGAAAAAAATTGATCCGGAAATACACTGAAAAGGATCCAAAAGCCACGTGCTTAGGGGGATCCTCCAAATCAGCTGGTAGCGTTTTGTGACAGATCCAGAGGAATCCTTTTTGACGCTGTCAGTCCGTTAAAACTTGACGGAAGGAGTCCTGCCAAAGCAGCCCATTGACAGCAATTCTGCTCAGATTGCATTTCACAAGTCCAAGCATTAGCCTTGTGGATGTGGGCACCCGCTATTTGAAGAAACACACAGAAATTGCAAAGAAGCCGTAGGCTAAGAACAAGTGGCCTCTGCTACCGGAAGATGTCGGCAAACATACCAGGTGCCGTTTTTCTGGGGGCGCCTTATCCTAAGAGAAGCCTCCAGCAGCGATTGGGCAAAGGTGATGCCTTTGAACTGGCCCACATGGGTGTGTTTGTGTTTATATTTTGGAGGGTGCCCCAATTTCTCGGGTCGAAATGCTCATTTGGACATATACCCACGTGTATTCGTGTCAGAATCCCTGCCGATTGGTCCAAGCGGCATCTTCCTCGAAGCACCTTCGGTGACTTCCAAAAGGAAGGGACGACCGACCTGAGGCAGACGCCCGCAGACTCAAAGTGACCAAATCTGGAGGTGTGTCTGGACAGGTGGTGTTTGGGCGAGAATCAGTAGTTGTATACTGGTTGGTTTTAGCATGTGTCTCAACAAAGCCCATAGGTAGCTTTCCCTTCAAGCTGAAACGCAACCCGCAACAATAGACACTTGTGCAAACCAATCTAACAACCTTGTTTGGATTCACACGGCTTCCGCGCAACTTGACCTGGCTGAGAGCCTTTTTGCGGAACCAAATGCCTGGCCAGCGCGGGGGATTTGCCCATGTGCATGGGCCTAGGTGGCCTTTGCTGAAACAAGTATACATCAACACTGACCTAAAAGGACACCCATCAATATAGGACTTCCTAAGTTTAAGATGGAACCATGTTTCTCAAATCCTCCCGATTTGTAGAAGCATCCCAGACCCTTTGTGGCGGTGTGGCAATTTGCGGGGACTTTGCCATGCCAAAGCCCTACATAGGCACTAGAATGAATTTCCTAAGTAGGGAACAACTTGGCGGATATTGTTGCAGCAAAGGTAGAACATGAAACAAGGGCTTGCCGGGACAGTTGGGACCTGCGAATTGCCTTTTGCCTTCAGGTAATTGTTGAGTTTCCCAAGCCCTGCTCAACTTTTCAAATGAACAAATGCTCAAACCAGGAGAGTCCTTTCAAGCACCATGTTTCTTTTGGGGGATAGTATTCCCCGGAGGTTGAATCGGGTACGTCTCAAAAACAGGGGAACCCCCCCAAATCAAATTTCAGCTTCCCTTGTAACCAAGCTGGAAAGGGTATCTTCAACAAACAAAAACACATTGTATATATATATATATATATGACTTTCTGGCCAAAATCTCCGTGTGCGAACGAAATCTCGACGCGAGGCCGGCCTACCGCTCCGGCCCCCGGCCCCCGGCCGGCGCCGCGTCGTTTCCGCCCGGGGCCGGTCTTTGCCCGGGAACTGTGAGCCGCAGCGAGGCCACTTCGAGATCCAGAACCCTTCTGTCAGCTTCCACGACTGGAAAGGGCCCAAAAGCGGCAAAACAGTCGCACCAGGTTGCGAGTAGATGCCAGAACTCTCTTCTAACACTAAGCGAGAATGATGAACCAACATGGGGGGGAGTGTGTCATCTACTTTCACCCAGCTGTATGGGGTAACTTTATGGTTGAGGTTCTCAGCGGGAAATGAGGGAATGACGCCCTACCACCTACCCCCAAGTGATTTCCTTTCAGGGGAAGATCCCCTTCCGGCTTCTTCCCAAAACATTGTCCACCATTAAAAAAAACACCTCAACTCAATCGGCCACCAGGCTGCTACCAAATTCTGGCGGTCTCGGTTTGCGAAGCTTCTATGGAATTCCTTTTTGAGAAGCGCCGGGCCAGGTGTGACAATGACCCTTTTGCAGTCCCGTAGCATGTGCATATGTTGCCCAATGACAAGTAGTTTGACAAACGCAAATCACAGCGGTGAAAAGCCACTTCATTGGAGTTGGCCATCATTGGCCATCCGGGCGACAAACGTAAGCATGAACAGCAGTCACAACTTTGCGTGGCATTGACTTGCTCTCCAAAAGAACAAAGCAGTGCTGGCGGGAATCTTCAGCAAAAAGTTCGCAAGCCCTGAATCTTGCAGAAGGGACCAGCAAGTGACCGACACCTCAAGGCGGAGGGCGTGGGTGTGGATCCTGAAAATGAAATTCCAGGGGGGTACCCCCGTCCCTCGCAAAAACACATAATTTTTACGGGGTGTCACCCCCCCCCTCGATAAACCTCCAAAGGACACTCCTGCCTCTATTACCTACATGGTATGTATCGATGGAGTTTGTGGGCACTCCCTGCTGATCTGATAGCTGGACATCTGGAACTGCAGCACCGCGTGGGACCTCAGGAGGGTGGGACCGAATGAGCGGAGGATGAAGGGAAAACGAGTCGTGTCACTGGTGGTTTCTTCTTTTAAAATCATATTTGTTCAGGCCAAATCATGCCATCTACATAGGTTATACCTTTTTCAAATGTCTCTATTTACCAGCTATACTGCACACTGGCTATCTCTGGACAGAACATATACATATACATGTGTATATATAATATACGTAATATGCCTTTGTCTATCTTCATGGCTTCTAGACATTCAGTCCTTGATACGCCGATGCAGCTGTCAACTGCGAGTCCTTGGTACCCGGCTCGAAGCTGTTGGCTGCTAGAACCAGGCCAGAGCTCATTTGGTCCAACCTCGGTGCACTTGACTCCTCTCTATTCCAGCTGAATCAAAACCCAGGGCGACGCGCAAATAAGCAAGCAAAAGGGCGGCTGCGCCAATTTTTAGGGCTGGGGCTGTCCCTTACTATTCCTAATATGCCTGCGATTTGATTGTGCGTCACACTCCTTGACTCCCGGGATTCAAGGGTTAGTCGGTGCGTGTGTGTGTCATCTTACTCGTGCTTAGCTGGGAATGAGGGAATGTGAAGGCTAATTATGCACATGACACTTTAGACTGCCATAATATATGCCAGATCTCAGTGGTGACCCCAAAAGTTTCACTGTTCCATGCACTGATGTGTTTTTTGTCATTCATGTATGCACTGATGTGTTTTTTGTCGCAGTTGCAAAGCAAACAACACATCAAGTTGCAAAAGCAAAGTAGGCTTGGCCACCGAGTTTTTTTGTCCAATTAAACTGCGACAAAAAACACATCAGTGCATGCATGAATGACAAAAAACACATCAGTGCATGGAACAGTGAAACTTTTGGGGTCACCACTGAGATCTGGCATATATTATGGCAGTCTAAAGTGTCATGTGCATAATTAGCCTTCACATTCCCTCATTCCCAGCTAAGCACGAGTAAGTCATGGATGTGTGGTGTGTTTCTCTTTGCGATTCTGTGTGTGCTTGTGTTTGTGTGTGTGTGCGTTTGTCATGTTGTTCACGTTGTTTGTTCGTGTTCGTGTTCGTGTTCGTGTTCGTGTTCGTGTGCGTGTGCGTGTGCGTGTGCGTGTGCGTGGGCGTGCGTGCGTGCGTGCGTGCCTGCGTGCGTGCGTGTGTTTGTGTCTGTGTGTGTGTGGGTGGGTGGGTGGGTCGTGGGCGTGGGCGTGGGCGTGGGCTTGGATGTGTGCGTGCGCGTGCGGGTGCAGGTGCGGGTGCGGGTGCGGGTATGTGCGAGTGTGCGGGTGCGTGCGCGGGCGGGTGCGTGCGCGGGCGGGTGCGGGTACGGGTGTGTGGGAGTGTGGGTGTGGGAGTGTGGGAGTGTGGGAGTGTGGGAGTGTGGAAGTGTGGGAGTGTGGGAGTGTGAGAGTGTGGGAGTGTGTGTGTGTGTGTGTTTGTGTTTGTGTGTTCGTGTGTTCGTGTGTTTGTTTGTTTGCTTGCTTGCTTGCTTGTTTATTTATTCGTTTGTTTGTTTGCTTGTTTGCTTGTTTGTTTGTCTGTTTTTGTTTGTGTTTGTGTGTGTGTGTGTCTGTGTTGTGATCTATGCTTCCGTTGTCTTGTCTTATTTATGTTTTTTTTCTTTTTTGGGGGGGGAGCCTTTGCAAGTTGTGTTCAAACAAAAGAGGCAACGACATCGTTTTTGGGGCCCGTATTTTGACACGTACCCATGCACAAAACCCCAATCAACGGTTTTTCATTTCCATGGGGATTGACGTCCACCAACCAGCTTGGAAGGTGCTCCCTAGTAACCCCCATAGTTTTGTTCTTTGCCCAAGGAAAGCAAAGCGACCGCAAGCTGTGCAGTTCTATTACCTTTCACATAATAGCCTGTCAGTCTTCCTCATTGTGTCATTGTGTCCCGAAGTGACTAAGGTGACATGTGCCATCTTAAACATTCGGCCAACAAAAACTAAAGGACTCAATAGGTACCGATTTTCTACCCAAAGGCGGCTTGGCCATCGCTTTAAGGGGTTGAAGAACCCCTGTTCATTGCATTGAATTCGGTAAGTAACCCTTGTATGGGCGTGTGGTGATTCGTTGACTGGATTAACCCTGGCCCAAATCTCAGGTACATCCCAAATCCCACTTTCAGATTCGGGCCCATATCTGCCTGCCCCGAAACATAACATAACTTTGGAGCACCCAGTCAAGCTGTTTGCACAGTCCAAGGATCAGGCCCCTGGCACTGGGCCCCGGGCCGGTGGATGAAGCCAAACCCAAAGCTGGCATCGCGGCAGATCGGGAAGTCTGCCTCCGCGAAGCGTCCGAGTCCGGCTCTGCCGCGAGGCCCTCATGCTGTTGAGGTCCAAAATGAATGTAGCACAATCGAAAAGAAAAACATGTTTGCACGCACAACAGCTTAAATGAAGTCCGAATTTGTTTTGTATTTTCAACATGGAGAGAGATTTGGTCTACCTAAAGTGTTGGAGGAGTTTTCAAGATGTTTCAATCCGGCAAATACCTTGAGATCTCCATGTCCACATGTCCCTTCAAACATCTGGACATGACCCCTTGATCGTGGGCGTGAGTCTGCATTCACAAAATAATCGAGACTCGAGGTACAAATGCTTAAACCTAAACGTGCAGGCAGCAAATCCCTCGATGGCAAACCCAAGCAAGCCTTGCCGGCCAATGCTTGCTTGAGGCCCTTGCTGCAATTTTCCGGTCCCTTGCCTCGCCTAACCAAAAGGGCCCCGACTACAAAGGTGAGGTGACGACAAATGGGAATGCCGCTTGTGTTTGGTGCGACAACATGGCAAGGATGTGCGTGTTCGTAGCTTGTTGCCAGCGTGTGTTTGCTTTTGGATGCTACCTGCTTAAGCAAGCTGCTTCAAAGGAAACCAAATGGAAGCCGGGCCCTATATCGGTGATCCTTTCAGTAGAAAAACCCAAATGGCCAAATGGATCAACGCCGGGAAAACAAAAGGTCGGCTGACAGCCATTTCATAGGCGTCCCGATGAATACCAGAGAAAGGAAACAAGCTGATTGAGATCAGATTCAACCCACATCAGGGGTTGCAAAGGGAACCTGCCTAAAGCCACAGCCCATTTAAAGATATCACGTTGCTTTCGTTGTTTACTTTGTGTTTCTTCAAGGACACGCTGTGTCTGCTCAGCGACAGCTGGCCATTCAGTTTGCTGAAACCATCGTCAAAAAACCCGCTGTATTTTGTACAGCTACTACCATTCGCCAAAGAAGTCACGTCTGTAGAATTGACGTGAATGAAAATGGCAGTGGCAGTGGTGAAGCGAGGTCAATTGTTCACTGTGTCCCCCTACAACACAATTAGATTAGTCTCCCCCATCATTCGGCGAGTGTACCCGTGTTACCCCCCTGGTGTACGAGGTAATGGTGAACCTTGTATGTTGCTCATATAAGCCTTGTTGAAACTAGTTAGTTCGTCAGTTCCGCATGTCCCTCCCGAATGGATGATAGACAAAACAGAATATCGGAGTGTGTGGTTTCCTGATGGTACTCTTTTCATCTTGGTTTAGAGGGCAAGCATTTAAACAACCAAAATCCACTCCTGGGCCCAAAATCCTCAAACTACGTTGGGTGCCCCCCCCTTCTTGGAGTTGGCGCACATATTTGGGGTGTTGCGGCGGTTTGTCAGCAAAACCAGGCTCCATTTCGGGGTCCCCTATTTTGACACACACACACACACTTTTAATGTGTATAATATATATATATATAATACACACAGGTACATAATCTATACCTAGTATATATATATATAAAGTATATGCCAAGCTTTTTCACGATCGCCTCCGTGCAATGCTTCGCCAGGAAGGACGACAGCAGGTGGCAGCGCGCCACCTCGGGTCTTGTGGAATCGTCGTCCCAGGACAGTTGGGCAAAATTGGTGTGAACAGGTAACGAGTGAACCTTCGAAAGAAACCCTGCATGCCAATACACTGGAAGCACACACCTATGCGGGGGCTACGCGGTTGTCTTCCCCCCTACGAATTTGGCTACGAGGGGGATGATTGCCGACCGCCGCTCTCTTTGCTAGTGGCTACGCGGAGGCTATGTGAGGCTAAGCGGTCCGAGGAGTAGGCTACGCGGCCACCATGCCAATTCCCCTCTCCTTTTGGTTCCTGCTTTTAAAAAAACTGCCCAACTTGGACTTCATTGGAGCATGTTTTCACGACAGCCGGCGGCCCCTGCCTTTCCCCAGTCCCTGCTTGCAATGGCTCTGAAGCCAAGCCTACACGTACCTACGCCAGAACCCTGCCAGCCAGCCGCTAAAATTGATACGCGAGGCCGAACATGTCCACTCTCATGTTGCCCATTTTGAAGTTCACCTTCATCCCCCAACAGAATTTGCCCGCGGCATATAATATAATTAATATAACTTCAGGACTCCTCCCGTTTCAGCAGATCTCGTGCCCGCTCGCTCCGGGGCGCCGGGGAAATGTCGCCGAACCGGGCCACGTCATAGACGTCCGTCTCCCAGCCCGGAGGCTTCAGCAAAACCTTGGGCCAACTTTGATGGGTGCAGCTCTGAGGTGTGATTAGGGCTGAAGGCTAGAATTGAAAACAAGACAATTCCCTGCCAGCACCCTCCAACTACCGTTGTTACTTGATTTGCGTGACTTCCATTTGTTTTAATGTTATTTGCGTGACTACCGTCTATGTACTGGCCACTGGGCAGTCGGGTGCTGATGAGCATATCCGATATTGCAAGGGACATAGTTGAGGATAGTTGGGTGAAAACAAGTCACTTGGGACGCTGGCAACATTGTAAGCCGTCTGTAAAAGGAGTCCGCGAAGGTTCTCCATCCCCGCCATAGTTTGCAGGGATGCCAAAACATGCAGGAATCTGAATCCAACATTTGTGCTGCAATGTGAGTAATTATGTGAGTGACTCCAGTCCTCAGTTTCGAGTTTTCGGGCGTGCCAAAAGCCTTTCCACCTGCTTTGGCTAACCTTCAACCCTAGGCTTGGGGAACAAAATCTTTCGCTTTCATCATTTTGAGGGCAACAATACAGTATCTCCGATGGACCCACAGCCCTCCCACATTGCCTGCTTTCAGAATCCTTTGGATGCGAGTCTGTTAGATTCGTCGATATCATGGACATCAGTCCCTCGGTAGACACCTGGCGCTCCATGGTCCTCTCAACATTTGTCGGTCATGTCCCCCCCGAAAACATACAAGAAGTAGATGGCACAATTCCCTTGGGAAGTATAAAGCGGATGACGAAACCTATGAATTTGCTTGAGTTGGAATTGTGCCAACTACATCTGCACCCCAAGAGCCAGCACCTCGAGACTCCAGGGATCTCCTGGGCCGCCCAATCTCTCCGCAGGAACCCAAGCGAAACGCGATACCCGGGGCGCAGGCAATCAGTCCAGGCACCTGAGAAGCGAGAACTCGACGGGGGAAATGGGATGGACATGAGAACTCGAACCTTTTTCTCTTGCCTGGTTTCTTCTCGTGGTTTCAGACAAAAATGGGAGACATGGCCCGTTGTTTTTTGGTTGCTGAATATTGAGGAGCCATAAGGCGGCTCTTTTTGGCAGGGTCTTTGCGGAGGAAACCTGCGGGCGCCTTTCGGCCGAGGCGCGTTGAGCACCACCTCCGGCTCTGGGAAGCCCAGCGACGTGAAGCCGCGCCCATCCGGCGCTGGCCTCGACGCGGGCCGGTGACCCAGGTCTCAAACGGCCCGAAGGCGCGCGCAGAACATCGGAGGCCCAGGGGCTGGTGTTTAGGAGTGGCTCGCAGCACGGGCTTGTTGATTGTTTTCTGTAGGAGTGGCTCGCAGCTTAGCACGGGCTCCAAGACTGGTTGGTTGGTTTGCTTGCTTGGTTGCTTGCCGGGTGTCCTTTTGGCCCAAATCGGTGGCATTGGTAAATGACGAGGACCAAAGTGAAACCAGAGCAATCTGGTTTTAACAGACTGACCTCAAAGGGACGCCGCGTGATGATTTGTTTGTTTAGGTGGGTACTATATACATAGAGGCGCTGCATAAATTGAGGGTTTCCGTTTGGATGCCCGGTCAACAAAGGCGAAAAGGGCGCCGACTAAACAAACAAACACGCAAACAAACACGCAGAGACACAGAGACACACACACGGACACACAGACACTCACACAGTCAGACGCACCGACACACACACACAGACACTCAACGACACACACACACACACAGACACACAGACACGCAGACAAACACACACACACACAGACACACAACACAGACACGCAAACAATCAGACACGGAGACACAGACACACAGAGACACAGAGACAAAGAGACAGACACAGAGACACAGAGACACAGAGACACGAGACACAGACACAGACACACAGACACACACACACACAAACACGCAGATGCGCAGACACACAGACACACACAGACACGCAGACACGCAGATGCGCAGACACACAGACACACAGACACAGACACACAGACACACAGACACACAGACACACAGACACACAGACACACAAACACACAAACACACAGACACGCAGAGACACACAGACACAGAGACACAGAGACACACAGACAGAGAGACAAGACACAAAGACACGCAGACATAGAGAAAACAAACACACACACACACACACACAAACACAAGCACAAACGCAAACACAAACATAAACACGCAAACACGGAAACACGCAAACACGCAAACACGCAAACACAGAAACACAGAAACACAGAAACACAGAAACACAGAAACACAGAAACACAGAAACACACACACAGACACACAGACACGCAGACACACAGACACACAGACACACAGACACACAGACACACAGACACACAGATATACAGACACACAGACACACAGACACACACACACACACATGTAGATGGTTGTAGTACGTTTGCAAACTAAACTAAACAGTGCCAGTGATGACATATCCCATTAAACAGGCACCTGTGAAAAAAAAAAAAAAAAAAAAAAAAAAAATGTTCTGAAGGATTGAAATGGTCCAGTTGAGGAATGATATTGAATCGCAAAGTTGCCAGGCAAGCGCAAAGCATTGGTGTGGGCATGAACACAAACAAATATGGCTTCAAAAGCAAAACACCATGATAACCATCATTTCGGGTGAGCCCTTGTATTAGCACATACCCAACCCCCAAGGGAGAGGTTCAGACTGCAATCGGTTTCTAAAGATCTACCCTCGACATGGAAATCCGCAGGCTTTCGAGAGTCTTCCATTCGGTGGGAAGGAAAGGACTCAAATCCGCAAAGCCCAGCTGTTAAATTCTTAACTATCGGTGGGTCCTGGCTTTTGGGCTGTCATAGACATGGTTCCCTTTAGAAGCTAATTACCAATGGTCCAAACCAGCAACGTGGGCGGGAGGGAACCTTCCATGTGTTCATTGACATCAAACTTGATTTTCCATATGCACTTATCAACAAACTTCGCACCATAGCCACAATATACTTCCAGTCGCCATGCGGCCAGTACTCAAAACGTTCAGGTGCCATTCGGGTATGTCTCAAAATCGGAAACCCCCTTTGGGGACAAGTTGAAAGGGTCACCCAAGGGACAAAGGAGAACCCTGTATATTTTTGGGCCCCTTGCTTCCAGAAACCCCTTTACACCTGTGCACCCGATTGCACCAAGCGTGTACAATCAACATGCTTGAACAGGTCTAGTATGTCTGGTGGCAACTTCCCCATTCTTTAGCCTTCAAACATCCCGGGGAAAGCGAGAGTTTTGAAAAGAAGGACGGTTGAAAAGAATATGAACAAGGAATCACCTAGATGTATTAGGGTCTAAACTGAGTCCACTAAAGTAACATCCTCAAAGTTTGCTATTCTAATGGTGACGCTTCGGCAGGGCTCAGCCCACCAAAAGGAAACCCACTTCAAAGTGACACAAAAGGCCATGTTAAAGCCAGCAAAAGGGGACCTCTAGGGAACCACCACCCCCACCCCCCCCCCTGCCAAGGCTTTTGAGCCTTGGGCCCCCGAGCCAGTGCCGAGGCCAGCAGCCCCTGCGACTGTCCTCCCGGCTTCTGGGCTCATTGTGACGGCAGCAACCCATGTGGCAGAGCGTCTGTTTAGCGCAAACCGATATGGCCGGTACTGCTTACAATTCAACGTCTCAGCCCTGTAAGAAGGGATCCGCAAGGGGACCTTGCAAGTTTTATGCCCAACCGAGCTCGCCATTAAACCACACAATGGCAATATCAACCAGTCCTAGGGGGAGTCTCACAGCCTCAGTTGGCAGCTCTCCGCCCTCTCCTGCTGCTGCCCGTGCTCGCGAGCGCTCCTTGCCAGAACATGACAAAAGCTGCGTGAGGTATTCTATGCAAATTAACATGGAACAAAAGAGAGCCCAGTTGCAGAGGCCAAAAGACCTCACAAAAACTGCTCGTCGAACTTTGAATGATGATACGGCTGACTCCCCAAATACCGTGCTTCGCCCAATTGAACACGGCAGCTGCGGATTCCATTCTGCATCGTGAGGCTTTCACCGCCTCACAATGTCATTCGAGAAGTCCCAGAACCAGGTTCCCACTGAGGGGATTGGTCAAAAGTCCGGACTTCCGGTCCGGAAACTGAAGGCAAACATCTCCATCCCGCAGAGAGCCCTCTTCCCGGTGAATCCCATCCTTATTGTGGGAACCCTTTGGTTTGGTGGGTTTTAAAGGTAAGCCAAGCCTCCCTTCGGTCCTCGTGAGCTCTGGGGTCAACTCACCACCACTCCGAACATACCTCAGCTGCGAGCCGAGCCTCTGGCGAGTGAGGCAAGGGATCCTGCATGATCCAACAGGTGTTGATCAGTATCAGAACAAAGTTGTGCGGGTTCCCCAAAGGACATGAACAACAAGGGTGGCGTCGTCGCTTATGTTCTCCTCCAAGCCAACAGTACACTACACTCAGGTAGAATTGATAAACTCACTGCATGTTGCAACCTGCGGCCGCTTGCCAATCTTGGGCCAAGCCCCTGCTTAAAGAAGTTTAAACCGCAGTTTAAACATTTTTATTTGGGTTCCCCTCAGTCAACAAGGGTCTGGATGTTTAAACAACTAGTGCATCCAATTCTGGCTGCTGCCCCCTTCACTTCCAGCTGAGGGCCAAGCCCAAGACCCTGCGCAATGTTGCTGAGCTCCTCGCAGGAATCGCCCGGTGACCCCGGTGACACATACCCAAATATGGCCGCATGGCTGTCAGGAATATGACATCCGAACCATTCCACCCAGATCCACACGAGAAATTGCTTTGGCTATTTGAATCTAGACAACACGGGCAAATGCAAGATTTGCACAGACAGTTTCGGTGTTCATTCACAGCTATTTTCGGGCAGTCAACGGCGCGCTTTGTTTCCATTGCAAAAGGCTTTAATCAACTGCTTGGCCACTATTCCGCCAGTGTTTTTGCTGGTTCTTCAGGCGCCGATGCTTTGCGCCAACTGCAGCGCCAGGGTTCCAGTGCAAATCAAGCAAGCAGGGCCTCGAGTGTTGTCACCACAAAGCACTGCATGTCCACACCTAGCTGACTTCCCGATTGCTTTTGGAAAGAACATGTCCAAAGTTTTACCTAAGGCTTGGGGATTGAGTTGCTTACGGAACACTTGTGGCCCGCGGTACCCACGAACAAAACTATTTCCGAACATGCTTGCAAAGAAGGGCTGGGGCTGCAAGGGCGTTCACCAGGATGCACAAAAATGGTGCAAGTTGGTTTGCCAACCTCTGCAAGAAACTCGATATCCACCAACGCTTTGATTGTTTTCTGCCTGTTGGGCTTTGAGAGCCTGACAGATTTTTGCCCTTGTTTTCTTGCTACATGTTGCAAAAATTGCCTGTCTGGAGACAGCGCAAAGCGGACGGAAAATGGCGGGAAACGGACGGAAAACGGCGGGAAACAGACGGAAAAACACGGATTCCAATAATGCCTGGTGTCTATGGTTCTTGTCGTCGTTGGAACTTGGATTTTGGGAAGCTATGCGCTGTGTGGAATGCTCGCTTGCTTACCCTTTTCTATGGGCAAGCTTCTCAGCTAAAAAGTCCCTGGAGCTGTGTATCGGCCTCCTCGAAAGCTGCAGACTCAAAATTGCCAAACTATGCGCCTCCGCGGACAAGAGTTTTGGAAAAGCATGGCTTTAGTTCTTACAGGGTCAACTCTTGCGGGGGTGCAACACGCGTTTCAAGCGTGGTCACTACCGGGACAGGTGTTTGCGGTGGACCCTTTGCAACAGCTTTGTTGATTGTACTTTGTGTAAGCAGCTGCTTGTTGAATCTCCGCTTGTTCTTGCACACTTGTCATGTAGCTGCGAAGCAACAGAAGATGCTGCTGTCAAAGCCGCAAGGCTTCTCACAAACATACTTGCTGTAAAGGATAGTTCATTCATAGAAAGCAAGGTCCCTTGCACAAGCGCAAGTTTCAATGTCCAGGCAGCTGCAGGTAAGCATGCGGAAGCGGCGCAATAATTTTTCGCTGTGTGGGATTACATCGGAATGACAAACTAAGACACGGACAGTTGTTTGTTGCCACAAACACTTTTCCGCGAAACAGACGGATTTAGGCGGAGTGTCCCCCAAAAAATGCCCACGGAAGGTTCAGGTATATATCCATGATCTGCATGCTCCTTATTGTATGCACAAAAAACAACTCTTGGGCGAAGCATCGCCTGTTGACCCACACATGTTTATTGCCGCGATCCGATTCGAGAAACCGCACCTGGTGGTGAAGTTCATGGACATGCAACAGCGAGGCTTCGGAGGTCGCAGCGAAGGCCTGAGGCTCCAAGTCAGGAGCCTCGTCCACGCACCGAACCCCAAGGAAACATGGACAAATCAGGACATTGTGACTCATGTGGTTGTTGTCTTTTAAGGATTCCCTCCAAAGGGTTGGCTTAAAGAGAAACAAAAGGAAACCAACCATTTTGGGGGGGTCCACCCTTTTAACGGCATACCCATGTGCGGGTTGTCAAAGGTAGGTCCTTTTTGGTATCCCCATTTAAAAGGCGGCCCTCCTTTCGTCATACCTCTGGCAATCACCAAAAGTCATGCGCCATGGGCCCCTAAAGGACCCGTGACCCGACAGGTTCCGGTCACATTTGTGGGCACCTCTTTTGGATGGTGCTTTGAAGGAAGACCGAAACAACCACCATTCTTGAGCTGTAATTATGAAACTGCCCTTGTGCGGCTATTGGAAACGAACCAACAGGGCACCAAGTGAGAGGTGGAGGGTCCCTTCGTTTGAGACACAGAGAGGGCCCAATGGAAGGGATCAACATCCTTGTGTCATGGAATATGGGTCGGCCTTTTCTCGTCGGTACCCCCCCCAGTTTGGGTGGGTTCAATCGGATTTCAAGAGGAGAAACACTATTCTTGGGGGTCCCCCAAAAAAAACAACGTACACACACACACGCAAACACCCACGTCCAGCATGTCCCTTCCGAGGTTCCTGCGGGCGCGCCAAAGGTGTCTGCCGTGGCCGGGCCCCGAACCAAGTTGGAGAGGCCCTGGCGGCATGCCAAATACGCGGCGTCGATTGGGTGGGGGGGAGGGGGGTCTAAATCTGAAAGACAAACTTTTGGAATTCCATGGGTCCAAGAGCCCCTTGCCAGAGACAGGCCCGGTGAAAGGTCGCGAGGAGTCCTGCTCCATGATCTGTACGGTCAGCTGAGTCATCTGCATTCACTGATTACTTTACTTCACCAACCTGAACTCAGGAATTTCCAAGGAACCTTCATCATGCGGCCTGGAGCTTGCCTCCCCCACGTGCTTTCAAAAGGTAGACCCGAAGAGCGTAGCATGTCAGTGCTTCTCAGGGTTGGGCAACATAAGAAAGGAGGTTTGAGCATGATGTTTTGGCTCAACTCTGCTGCGTTCACAATTGATCTGACGCCAGGACTGCCTTGTCAGGAACTAGGTGCAATCCAAACAATGCCTCATGCATCCCAGTTGACATGCTAGTTGACCAGCCACTTTCCGGTTAAACTTTTAGCTGAAGGGTGGTTCTCCTGATTGCATCTAATTACTTTATAGGTTCAAGGACTCATGGGAATGACAGAGTTCTGCAAAATGGGCTATGGATTCCGGCCCACCTGAAAGGAAGCGATGCTGTGCGAACCACATGTTCAAACAGTTTGTCCACACCCTTTGCTTGCTAAGACCCGAGGATCCCACCTGCTTGCGAGAGATTCACAGGAGAAAGGGAAGTTCGATGAGTGATCCTGTAAATTCGAGGATCCCCGGGTCCAAATACCTTGTGAAGGTGTACTTTGAGCCCGTTTTGGCCCTCAAGCACATCCCCAACAGGAACTTGGACCCGCTGGGCACAACACATGTCAGTCAATGAACTTGAAGCAGCATACTTGAGAAAGCAAACATATTCCCATATTGAGTCAATCTTAAACTGCACCATGATGTCAACAGAAGATTTCTCAAACTGAACGCAGCGCCGTGAGCGCTGTTTCCACATCCTTGAGAAAGGGCAAACCCGTGTTTTACTGCTATTTGCAGCGCTCAGAGCGCTGACCTCTCTTCTCAAAATGGCAAGAAACAAATCTTGGGATGGTTGCTCAAGAACGCAGGAAGCAACCCATGTTCAGCTTTTATTTTCAGAAACCGCCAGACGTCCCCGGATCAAGTCGGGAGGCCAGTTTGGCTTTCCCCATGCCTGCGGGACGAGCTCCAGCGCCTTCCTCTCAGCACTTCGGGCCAGCGCCGCCCAGGTCGGCGAAGCCACGGCCTAAGCTCACTGTGAGGGGTTTCCCTTGTGGCCGGATTTTTTGAATGTGGATTGAAATGGCTGTTCAAGCTTCCCTTTTGTCTTTGTGCCGGAATGTGGATTGAAATAGTTGCTACATTGCTCAAGAACGTCGAAGTGTGAAAATATATTCTGGGGATTTCGGTGCTTCAATTCTCTGCCCGAAAAGGGGGTCCCGGTGAAAGGCGCGCAAAGCACCTGGTATCTCCACCTTCAGGGGTCCCCAATCGGGACAGAAATTCCAGCCGAACATCTCGATCCAAGTCATGTTTCGGGCTGGGCATCTTCTTTTGGTTGTGAAAAGTTCCCCCCCCCCCCCCCCCCCGACCCAAGCATGAAAGCTGTGTGTAGTTGAAAGGAGCTTTTTCCCCATGCTCAAAGAGGACAAGTCTTGGCTTGATTGGAATGTACATCCGCGGCCCGTAGCCTAAATCATGGGGGCAGGGAAGAGGGGGGGGTGGTGCGGGAGGGAGCCCAAATAAGCCCTAAATAAGGCCTTATTTGGCCAGAATAAGGAATATTTGGGCTCCCTCCCCCTCCGTCCCTCCCCCCAGCCCCCCTGATCAAAGATAAAACCGTGTCATTCAATTGAAAGGAATCCCCCATCCAAACAAGGACACTTTGTTTTATTTGAAAGGAACACACCCACCCGAAAAAGGGAACTGTTTTTTTTTCGGGACGCCCGGCCGCCAAACCAGGCAATTGGTAGTCTATATGAAAGCAAAAGCTCCCACCCCAAACATGAAAGCAATTAAAATGAAATTCCGGCCCCAAACAAGGGAAGAAGGGTGGACCCCACGTCTGCCGAATCTACTGCGCCATGGAAAGTAACCCTTTTTGCGCAATCAAAGCATCCTATGACTACTTTGTCTTTTGGTATCCCAAAAACTAGCAACCCTAACCTCCGGGGCAGTTGAATCGTAGGTGTTGTGGGATCCGGGTGCTCGTCAACAATTTGCGCCAACAGACACTTTCATGGTGGTTCCGCGCATCAACCCGGAACGTTCCGCAACCCACGACTACTTGTTGCTTCAAAGGGAGGTCCTTGGCGCCCTGGGCTCAGAACAAAGGTGCACCACCCATTTTAGAACCGATTCTAGTGGGGATTGGGATGTTCACTGGGGGTACGATTTGGCTTTTGACCCATGGCAAAATGGCGGTCCGGGCTTCCGCGCGGCCGACGTGGTGAAAGTTCGCGCCAGGTTGGCAGGGCCTTGCCTCGGTGCGAGGGCGGTGGGGCGGGAGGTGGGGAGTGCTCTCGGTGGACCGTTTTGGGGATTGAAATGAAGGGAAACCGAAAGGGGAAACCACCCAGTTTGTTCGTCCCGAACGAGCCAAAGCTCGACCACCTTTTGGAGGTTCATTGACAAAGCCAGGTACCAAAAGGTTGAAGGGGTCAGGTCACACGAAAGACAAGCCATTTGTGGGTAAGACATTTAATGGGGAACCCATTCACACGCAACGTATCGTCATGTCAGTCATAGTCATGGTGGAAAGGTTGGCAACAGGTTTGTTTCGCTTGCCCTCCCTACAAACATGGAACATGACGATCAGCCTTGTCATATCTTGGAGTTGGCTGCATCCTAAGGCAATTCTTAACATTAGACCAAGATATCTGACTCTGGAATCCTCGCGAATCCATGGCCTTCGCTAGAGGATTGGGGCAAAAGACGCCTATCTGTAAAATCATTGACATAATACTATGAGAAATCCAGAATGGAGAGACAAGAGTGGCAGGAATAGAATGCTTCTTGGATGATTTCTTCCTTGGCATCTCTTTGCTCTGGACGTCCTTTTCATTTACGGCTTTCATTGTGCTGTCTGTCTCTCCGTTCCTTGTCTCCCAACCAATTATCAGCATTGAATGTTGGCGAAGGAAAACGCCAGTATAAGCTAGGTAAAGAGGATGAACATAAAAGATGAACGACCGCTGCAAATGACCGCTAAGTTTCCAAGAATGCCTCTTTCTCTCTTGAGGGTTTTGGAAGGCTGCTTGTTTTGTTTGTTTTCGGAATTCCGAAAATGCTCACTTTCCTGGTTGCTGGACAAAGAAGATGTTTTCCTAATACAACTGCCGCGTGTTTTCTTTTTTTGTTTCCGAGGTGAGCAATCTCGGGCTGCCTGATTGGCTTTCTGTCGTTCTCGCTCTTAAGCACAATTGTTTTTTCTTATTATTTCGCAGGGCTCTCTGCAGCGGTCAAAATGGCAAAGCAGCGAAACGGCACACACCCAAACCAAACCAAATCAAACCCAAGCACCCATCCCAGGGAATCCAAGGCGAGCGCCTCTTGTGGGCCTGCCTTGACTTGGGGCTGGTAGGTTTGGTCATGAACCCTTTGCTGGATTTTGGACAACAGTAGAAGGCTTCCCAATCCAACAACAAACAAAACAAGGCATTCCGTCTGCCCCAAGGCAAGGTGGGGCTCCCGGCTGGTTCATGTCATCCACCTCCGGCAGCGCCTTTTCTGCAATGGCCTCCGACCTCACAAATCTAATCCCGGTGTGACAACCGAGGCGCCTCGAAGAGCAGCCATCTACAGAAGACGCGAACCCGAGCTTTGGAGAATGCAGGGCGAGGTGACTTTCCGAAGGGAGCAATAAAGGTGGTGCAAAGAATTCCGACTCAAAGATCGAGTTGATCCAACACAAGTTCGGTCGGCCAAGCCGACCTTCTTTCCGCCGCTTGGGTACGTCTGCCCACTTGGGGGACCCTTTGATGGACATCACTTGCATTGACCAAAAATCATGGACTCTAGGCAAGCCATTGCACCTCTGGTGCTCACAAACCAGCGCTTGGGCTCCAAACATTGGAGCTCAACAGGCATTATCTTATATAAATGGATCAAAAGGGTTCCCATTTCCCTGAACAAACACCCCAAAAGGGAAACACTCCAAAAACCGGACACAGAACTACGTGCCACGCATCAAGTCCCAACCTTTAGTGCTGATCCACACAACCCCTTGGGCTCCGGGCAATGGCTGAAAGACTGACAAGGTGCCTCCCCAGCTTGGCAAGGCGTTGCTCACAAGGGATCAAAATTTGAGCCCAGCGTGCGCGTGGGCACATGTGTGTGTGTGTGTGTGTGTGTGGGTGGGTATCTGTGTTTGTGTGTTTGTGTGTTTGTGTAACTGTGTTGATTCTCGTGTTTGTGTGTGTGTGCGTGTCTGCGCGTGCCTGCGTGTCTGTGTGTATGTGTTTCTGTATGTTTGTGTGTATATGCGCGTTCGTGTTTGTGTTTGTGAAATTGTGTAACCGCATTATTATTTGTTTGTGTGTGTGTGTGTGCGAGAGTGTGTGTGTGTGTGTGTGCGCGTGTGTGTCTGTGTTTGCGTGCTTGTGTTTTGTTTGCTTGGGTGTTTGTGTAATTGATTGAATTGTGTTTTGTGTGTGTGTGTTTGCTCTGTCTGTGTTTTGTATTTGTTTTCTTCGTGGGTTGTTGTTTGCGTGTATGCTTGGTTGTTTTTCTTGTTTGTTTGCGTGTTTGCTTGTTTGTTTGTTTGTTTGTTTGTTTGCATTTGTTTGCTTGTTTGTTTGCTTGCTTGTTCGTTGGTTTGTTGGTTCGCTTTTGTGCTTGTGTTTGTGTTTGCTTTTGTTGCTGTTTTGGTTTGTTTGTTTGTGTTTCTGCTTGCTTGTTGTTAAAGGTACCCTTTTCACCTTGGTTTAGCCAAAGAACAAGAGGAATGCCACCATTTTGCGGGCTCGCAATTTAATTTTGCGACACGTGCGGCACGTGTCCACCGATCCTGCTCAGGTTCCGAAGATGAAAGGAGAGATGTGGACCCATGGATTCCAAGAAACAAACACAAGACCCATACACTTGCTTTTTCGCACAAGCGAACATGCGAAAATTGGGTTCTCTCCTTGTTTTTGTTGGACATTTGGCTTGCTGTCATTTCGTTTCCTCCCAACACCGACACTAGACTACTATTTTGTTTGTCAGTTGCTCATACGCTACTAGGTGTCCCATAATAGTGCTTCAAATGAGTACCCGGCTTCCACGAATCCCCGAAACCACTCACCAGCATCCTGCGCATGCATGAGAATTGCTGAATCCAGGCTGACACATCAGATAGAGCCCTGTAGCCACGGGGGTTGAGACAAATTGAGGCACCCACCCATGGTAGAAATAGCAGGAGACTCTTGAGTTTCGCTCACTTGAAGTGTAGCGATGAATAAACCGAGAAAATTAAAAATCACGTGCACAACCCAGCATCCCCCCCAAGAAGGAGGCTTTTCTTGCTGGTTCAGCAGGGAATGGGAATGGTTTCCTTTCAGAGAATCCCTGTGTTCATTCCTAAAACCCTGGGTCATTCCCTACCTATTGCACCAGCAAGCTTTTCACGCAATCCATCAGCAATCACAAGCGGCCAAGCTGCCTTCCTGCGGCTCCGCATCAGCTTGGCTATCAAAATTAGTCCTATGGCTGGTGGGCTTTGAACCAGGGCTAACACCAATTCATATTAATGTCGGATTCATCTTTGCGAAGGTGGTTCGCATTGAAATTATCACCTTTGGTGGGTTCTCTGAGTAGGGTCCTCCGTAGTAATCCGAAGCTATTAAAAGTCGTCTGGTGGACTACGTCTTCTGGTGGACTAAAACAGTCCCTACCATAATTTTCTATAACAGTGCAGGCTTCCCATCCACGCGACAAGCCCGCGCCTGGCGCCCGGGCACAGTTCGCGAGGTCCTAGTGCGAAAAGAAGCTCACGAGAAGCAGCGCCTGAGCCGACCGACCGCGACGGCCGAATCAACTTGGCCGCCTCGGTGTCGCTGTCAAATTAGGCGATAAGAAGGTATTCCCTCCCCTTGAGGAGGTTTATAGCTCCATGTTTAAGCAAAAGGCGGCCAAGAACTTGTGGGTTTTCTGTAGGGAATATCTGGGTACGTGAAACCAGCTCCAGGACATTCGACAAAGCCGAAACATGTAAACAAGGAGCTGTTTTTGCAGCCGTCAATAGTGTCAGCCTATAGGAAATAACCCTTACTACAAACGGATCCCAGGGAACGACTGGCGGGACCACTGAGAACAAGCAAGGTTCAGTTGTGACCCAAACGGTGGAACAAGCGGATTCGATCTTTCTGTGGAACACTGTTTTTAAGCCCAAAGCAAGAGATCTAGGCAGAATCCACTGAACTGGGTTTCACGAGCCCAGCCGACCGGACCCCTGAGTAACTTCGCCAGAAAGCGAACCACAAGTCAGAAACCGTCGGTTGCTGAAAATAGCACGGATTGCAAAATCGGCATCAACCCCTGTGAAGGTAAACCTAAGGAGCAAACAAAAAGTACACGAAAGATCGCATCGCTCTAGACAAGGCATACGTGCGATATTTGTTGGGCCTGGGTGTTGACGGCGAAGAGCTGCTCAGACAAGTTGATTTCGTCCATGGCAAAGTCAATGGAAACCCTTTGAAGAGCTCAGCACTGTTTCTGTGGCAAGAGTAATTAATTGTTTGCTAGATGTAATTTCTATGAATGTTAACATGTCAGGGGGAACAGTTGCTACAAAATGGGTGTGTACCATAGTGTGCCACGTCATCTCCTTGACTTGAACTCATGGTAATTACCTTTCCTGCAAGCATCTAGCCGTGATGGCCCAAAGGCCTTACTTTAAGAAACCCGCTATCGGAAATTCTCCTGGAAGTTGCCCAAAGCCCTGGTAGATGTGTGGGTGTTTGGCTAGCTTCTTGTAGATGTTCTGGTGGCTTGGTTTTGGACTTGCAGCATGAGGAGAAGTCTAACATTGCAAGGAGTTGACAGGCGCTAACAGTCCGCAAACCACCAGTCTTCGATGCATTTCACACAGCTTCAATGTCTCTGGTGAGCCGAGGACAGTTGACCCGCCCTTGAAGCCATGACAAGTAGAAACAAAAAAGCAATCAACAGGTCAGGTCGGATTTGTATACATGTATGTATATCTCTATATCTCTATATATAATAACATTATACATGTATAGACAGTTTTATGGTCCAAAGGCAAACAAATGGCTCGCATATCCCCAGCCCCGCCACCCTGCCTGGCTAGTGAGTGCCTCGAAGAGACCCATGCCTTCCGCTGCGCAGGTGGCGGGAGCCCGCAAGCTGTTGGACCTCGGGCTCATTGAGTTTGCTCGGCACCATACAAGCTTGTCTTAACACTTTACTGGCCGGGTAAAGTTCAAACTCATTTTGGTTCTTGCTTGAAGAAGAAGAGCAACTGCCCAGCAACAGTTTCAAGTTTGTCAACTGGGCAGGTGAAGAACAAAACATGCAAAATACGGGGTTGCAGTTGCCACAATTGCTTGAGTTCCTTTCAGCCTCCCAAAAGGGGGCTCCCCAATAAAAACAACACACACACACAAAGAAAACAAACATGGAGCAAGGCCGACATGAAACTCTCAATCCCCAAGCTCTCGGCAGGCTCTGGTGCTCGAACTCTGACAAATTGCCCATGATGCGTGGCCTGACGTCAAAGGGGCAATGCAGAGCAGGCCCACTAAAAGAGAATCTGTGGTTCCCGAAATGACTCTCGGAAAGTGTGTGTGGGCCGCGAAAGTCAATCTAGGCTTTCTCCCATATATTTTGTATATGTCTGTTTAGAAGGGGGGGGGCTCCTGCAAATTGTAAGAAGAACGCATTTGTTGTCCACCTTTCCCATATGCGGAAGCGCCCTGATTTGCCTTCAAACAGCCCCCAGAATGATTCAGGCTTTCTGGTTTCCCTTCAAGACCAACCAAACGGGGACCAACACACACACAGCTATGAAACCACCAAAGTACAGAATTATCATGCGTTGGCAAGTCTTTCGGTGTAAGGGCGTTTCTGCGGCCTCGACAAAGCCAAATGCCGACCGCCGGAGGTATGGTTCCAAGGCCAGCAACATCTACCAACCATTTGACAGATTCTTAACATAACCCATGAGCAAACCACACATCCTGTCCCTGGGATTCAGCCGCGACAACAAACACGTTCTTTGGCTTGAAGCCAAATCTGGAAGCAACCAGCTGTTCAGAAAGCTTTACTTTTTGACCCGGCACGGACACACAGAAACCCTGAGCAGCACCATCTTGTGATGGCATTTCAAGCGCAGGGAAAGAGACAAATCTTGCTTGATCCAACGCAAACCATTGTTCACCCGTTGCACCTTATAGCAAAGAACAAAGCACCCCCTTGCAAAGGCTTTCCACACCTTCAGCGGGTCTCTACGCGTAAATAGAGACGTCGGTTTCGTGGTGCGGCAGTTCCCTATACTAAAGGTCAAACGGTAAAGCCTGGTGCAACCCTTTTCGACTCGGAACTCGCCTCAGTGCAGCAGAAATCGGCTGGGCCTTGCGAGATGGTTGGCAGCTCGCAAGTATGAAGCGGGTGCTGGCTGACGTGGTGAGTTGACCACCTTGGAAAATCGTGGGCGCTCCTCTCTATATATATGACTTCCCTCGTACCCACGTATGTGCGGCGGTCGAAACATGTTGCATGGCTGGCTGCCATGGCTGGCAGGGGTGTCGCTCCTCAAGGCCCCACTGTCGCTCAACATGTTGGTCATGGCGGCCGAAACAAAGACCTCTACATAGCATGTTTCGCCCCTTGCACATATGGCAATTGTACGGGGAGGGCCGGGACGCCAACTGCCTCTCGCAAATAGTTTGGCACCAGTCAGAAACCATGGCCCGGTCTAAAACCAAATGACGTCCGCGTCAAGCTGCAAAACACGTGCTTCGTGCTCCAAGGACAAGCCCAGAAACTGAGAACTGCTCTGCTATGAGTCAAAACTTGGTACCCAAGAGGTTTGCCCAACAACGTGTCAAGTAGTTTTGATAGGGGACTCTTCCCTATGACACACGAAGCAGCGGTAAATGCGCCTATAGCCTGTTCGGCCTTCGGCGGAATTGAGCTGCCAACACCAATGAACGGAAACACACTAAAAAACCAAAACAACCAAAACAAAACAAAACAACCAAAACAAAAACAAAAAAAAGAGGAAGAAACAAAACAGGAAGCAAGCCCAGAACAAACAAACAGGCGACTCTGGCGCGCCTCCGCCTTGGCCGCAGCGAAGCTTCGTAGCGTGTTGGCCGGGCTTTGTGGCTTGCCACCTTGAAGCCAAGGCCCAAGTCAGATTGAGTCAACTCACTGGCTGAGTGGATGGCCCAAACAAGGTGCAAACTTTACATTTACCACTAAATTGGTCTTCCCCAAAAGTTTAAAGTTCATGAGCTCGGAAGTTACTTTCAGACTCTGGTTCCTACTTCGAGCCTCAAAGCATGTTGGGAGGAGACGACAGTACCTTGATCCGGCTGTGCCCTGTCAATATGCAGGGAGTAATTGTCCAATGTGACAACCTTCTTGTTCATTGTTCGACATACGCCTGCAAGCGACCCAAGGCATAACGAGCACCTTCGCAAGTATGCGTGCAAAGCAAATGAACGCCTTTGCTGTTGCAGCAAACGGTTGAACATAAACATACTGCAACCAACAAGGCAAGCAAAGAATTTCTGACCGACTTTGCGCCTGCAGCAGTTGCCGCAAAAGCCACTGCTGCCTAGGTGGCATCCATGTAAGCCCCACAGAAATGGCCTGTTTTCTCCAGGACATGCGAAAAAGTGGTTGTTCCTCTGGAATTTGGGAGGACCCCGACGTCGGATGGGCTTCCCTAAGAGGGCAGGGTAAACATACCGAGAAGTGGAACTGGGTGCTGCAAAGACTCACCTCCACACGACCCCAAATTGGACCACCGGGCGATTCGCTTCATCGGCGTTGGGCAAGTCACTACGGAGTCTCTCTCAGCCGGCTCTACAAGTTAGCCATCTGGTGTTTGGTGCATATTTAGGGGAACTTCTTGCAGATTTTGCTGATCATTTCTGAAAGTCTCACCCCACGTGCCCCGATTTCGGGGCAAATTGAACCATCCAAGCCAGCGGCTGAGAACAGCGGCGCGACCACACCCAAGTGCGCGGGCCTGGATTCATCACACGGGCGTAAGTTGTATTTTGGAAGCCTTTGTCCTTTTGGGGGACAGCATTTAGGGCAGGCGGAGATTCATGTGAACCAATCACCTTTGATCGTTATTTGTTAATGGTTGGCCAGCTAAAATGCAGAAGATCTGGATGTGTGACTCAATATGCCTGGATTTGGGGGGGGGTTCTAACAAACTTGTATCTAAAGTATGTTTCCATGAAATCACACAGGGCTAGGGGGCGGGGGGGTTAGGCCCACTGCCCCAGGTGCCTATCCCCGGAGGGAACTGGAACCCTGTGGTAGTTGAGGTCGTTGTTGGTCCCTGAATCTATTCCGGAGAGAGTCCAATATGCCAATAATGGATGATTGGAGGATGGATTGTCCCTGGTGGATTGTCTGATGGATAATCCTGTAAGCGGCCTGCAATGGCTCTTTTGTCCTCACGCTCGGATAGTCGTGATTATGCAAAAGGGGCCTTGAGCCAAATGTTGCGGGAGATCAATAGTCTGAGAAACAAAACACAAAACAGACACAACTTTCTTTTGATCTCCAGCACAAAGTATGAAATACTATTGGCTTCATGGCCTTTGGCCGTAGCCTTAATGTGTGCCGTAGCCATGTGATTAAAAGAGCCGGATTCATCCTTTTTCTGCTGGATGAAATGTCTTGGCCTTCGAAATGGGAAACACTATGTACGCTTCTTTTTGGATACCTAATTGTATCAAAGGGTGATGTACAACGCTATGTGCACGCGGAACAATTGTGAAACTATTGATCACTCACTCATGGTATAGTCTTGTAGACAAGGAGGATCAATATTCTGGATTGCTCGTGGTGCTGAACGTATCTTCATGGTCAGTCGGATCGACGATACCATGGGCGACTGCTGTCGGATTGACTGCCATGGTCTCCATAATCATTCCAGGTCGAACTGCTGTAGTCCTTCCACTGCTTCTGATATCCCCACTGCTTGTTGTAGTCCTTGTACTCCTGCGTGGTCCAGGATTGTCTCTTCTTGACGTAATCCTGGTATCTCTCAGAGCTGCGTTTGCTGGTTGCAGATCTGCTGCGGATGTAAACCATGAGAGGACTGTGGGAGTCGGAGTCCTGCGAGCCGTTCATGAACATTTCATTGTTCACGCGCTTGTAGCGCTCTGCGGATGAGACCTGGTAATCGAAAATGGCCTTGTTCGGATGGTTCCGCATGAATTCCAGTTGTTCATCATCCATATTGTTCATCTCGATCTTCCGGAAGTCCTGCTGGATGTTCGTTTTGCCCCATCCAAATACAATAGTCATCATCACATCTGGGAATGTTCGACCAAAACCTGATCCGCATTTCATGTACAGATGATGACGGACAATGGATTTCAGGGTGCACGAAGTCTCCACTGTATTCTCCATTCTGTCCACGAGTGGCAAATTCTTCGTCGCATTCCACAATCTCTGATATGCTCTCATGAGGATGTTCACGAGACCGTTGGTTGGATTGTAGACATGCTGGAGTTTGCTGTAGGTGTTCGCCGATTTGTTGGCGTCTCCGGTGATCGCATCGCATCGGTACAAGGTCACGAGCGGCATGATGTCGTTCTGAAGATCTTCTTTTGCTGCTCCATGACTAAGTGAAGGATGGATATGGAAAACTCCAATGGTCGCGAATGGCAAGTCTGCCCTCGTGATGTGGCGGTCATCATACTCGTAGTATGATTTGTCGGATGATTTCGGGATCATGAAACGAAACTTATCACTCTGCTCGATGTGGAGAACGACGATCCCCTTGTCTCGGCCATGTCCTTGGACAATGGTGCGTGCTGGCAATCTCGATCCAATGTACTTCTTGGATTCGGTAAACATGGATGTTCCTGTGGTTGCCAAGCAATCCGAGGTCGGAATTTCGTAGTCGGGATCAGTGCCATCTTCTTTGGTTCCGAAGAAACATCTGAACATTCCGAATGTGGTTCCCCAATTCTGGCTCCTGGTAGAAATGTGTCTTGCCAGAAGTTCCACTCGTGGCCCGCCGCGGACAAAGCATGCGATCGGTCTGGATGACCATTGCTTGATCACAATGCCCTTGTAACCGTATCGGATGAACGTTTTGATGAGCTCCCTGGATTTCTCATCATTCGGACTGAAGAATGCGTCTGCCTCATTCAGGCATAAGATGTGTGCACTATTCTGCATCATCATCTTGACGATCGGTCGATCCATCATCGGCATGTTGTACACCTCCCTGTTGTCCAACTTTGGATTCCTTGTGAGGTTTCCATGGTTCAGGGTAATGTAAGGATGTTGATCCCTATGGATGAGGTGAACTCATGCATGTTGAGATAGTCCACGGAAGGACGGTCAGTCGGCTGCATCAGCGATCCCAGGATATCGGCATAGGCTCGGATGATTTTCGGGGCATCTTGTGACCTGAGCTTCTTCAGTCCACGCGGCAGCTTGATCGGATATCCGGATCCTGGTTGAGCTTTCTTGTACTCGTCAATGGTGGGACATCCTCCTCGATGAGGGAAGTAGAATTCTTCTTCACCGAGATTGACATCAGGATCGACATGTGCCAATGAGGCTCTCTCGCACTCTGTCAACTTGGGATGGGCTCCTTTCGGATCTTTGTTGAACTGGTTCATGAAGCGTTTGAGTTCTTCTTTGATCCCCGCGAGCTCTTCCTCTGCGTCCTGTTTGTTCATATCTATTTCGAGATAGGTTCCCTTGAGTTCTTGGATGAACTCTTCTAGGTTCTCTGGATTGTGATATTCCACGATGACCTTGGGCTTGACGGATCTTTCCCCGGAGGGTTCCATCATTTCTCCTTCGGTGGAGTCCTGATCGGTGGAATGCCGTCTCTTCTTGGTCTCTGAGAAGGTATCTTTTTCTTTGTTGTGCTTGGTGGAATTCACATACTTGAAGAAGGCATCGGCGAATTCGCGGATCTTGGTGTCATACATCTCGAAGTCTTCATAATCGAGGTGCTTCTTCATGATCCACTTGTTGCTCGCCATGAGGCTGCCATCAGGTTCGAATGCTGCAACAATGTTTCTTGCCTCGATGGTTTTGTCTGTCAACGCTGTTCTCTCTTCGGAAAGGCGGATGCCATAGTCTTGGTCCTTGAGAAATGCAAGGATCAGCAACGCATCTCTTCCTGCTGGCACATGGCTCAATGCGGTTTCAGAATCGTCGTCTTCGAGGATGACGTCATCGATGCATGCCATGTGAAAGTGCATTCTCCCCGAAGGGTTTGTCTGGGACTTCCCAGATTTGAGCCCTTGCTCCATGATGCTGTAGAGCTGACTTCCATAGGTTGCATGGAACATGAATGTGATGGGCTTCTTCGAGAATGGCTTGATCTTTCTCTCTTCTTCAACGGATGGTGGTGCCGGCCTTCGCATTCTGTACTTGGGCTGAGCTGTGCTTTCATCTCCATGAGGCGCCTCGGATCTTGACGGATGCGGACTTGGCGGAATGGATTCCGTTGGCAAATCATAGTCCGGTTCGTCGTAATGAGGCTCCTTCTGCTCAGAGAACAGGGGTCGTCCAAAGGATTGGATATCGACTTGTCGTGTGTGTCCGCTGTTGCATCTCACATAGAACTCCATCTCAGGATCAACATAGAAGTCCTTGCCATCGGGCCTGAGTGCACTTTTTGCGGATCTGGTGTTGAGCTTGTCGATCCATCGATTCCTTGGAACAATTTCTCCCCGTGCCTTGCGCTCTTTACATGTCCCGTCCACGGATGGAAATACGAACGCAATTTCGAAACGTGATTTTGAATAGCTCGGGAACTGGAACATAGCCATCAAGAGAAGTCCTGGCTTGTTTCCAATGAAGTTCCTGGCATGGGTGATGCAGGTCAATGCGTCATAGAGCTCGACGGATCCATCAGCACCCATTTCCACCTGCCGTTTGCATTCCTTATGGATTCCATGCCTTGGATCATGTCGAAGACATCCGGAAAACGATCTGCTCACTCTCTCAATTCGCCAGAGGATAAGGTCTGTGATCTGTTTCGCCTTGGATGTTTCAATGCGGAAATATTTGCAAACCTGTTCGACATTCTGGACGGTCTTATCGAAATCAATGTTGCCGTTGTGGCATACCATCGGGATGATGTCGGTTCCGTAAACTTCGGATTGAGCATTGCTGTAGCAGCAGATGCTGTAGACCTTCTTGATGAAGTCCACGTATTGCTTCTCTGCATGATGTCCTTCACCTTGGAGTGTCGGATGCCAGTAATCGTTGTATCTTGCCTTCAACCAGAATACCTTAACTCCATGCGGCCTCTCGTGTTCAGGAACGAGGTGGAAATCCGGATTGACATCAAGAATGGTTGAGCATTCCTTGTAGTACTCGTGCACAAAGGTCAGGAATTTTGAGTTTCCAACTGGTCCTGGGTGCACGGATTCCTTCTGGAGGCTGATGTCCGTATCCGATCCATATGTTACAATCCACCGATCGTTGGATGTGAGAACAGGCCGCATCACTGGTCGCCTTGGAAGTGCAGGTCGATCACCAGGATGATTGTCGGATTCCGTCTCGTCATCCAGGGTGTTCTTTGGTGCTGGCTTGACTTGGAGACAAGCCTCAGTGTCGGTGGCGGTGACTTTGGAACAAGTTTCGGATGTGGCATCGCCTTTGACAGGGGCCTTCCTTCGAGAGGATGCCCTTCTTCATCTGAATCATCGTCGTCGGAATCTGGATCATAATCAACCTGCTCCATGTTGACATTCTCGGGTTGTTGGGAGGCGGATGGATTCTCATCAGCGACTTGCTCCATGGGGCATTCGGATGTCTCATCTTCCTCATCACGAGCAGGGGATTCCTTCAATGGTGACGCCCGTCTCTTGATCATCGGCTTTGGCACAGGTGCCGCATCGCCGGATCGTCCAAACATCAGGTTGAGGATGGGCATGTCAACGAGATGATCGAGCATACAAGATTGCAAAGGTCGGATTGGTTGTAAACCGAAAGTGGCTGCGGAGGCAGACACATATTTCTTGAGAT